CAGGTTTGGATTTAGGGAGAAAGGAGAAAGAGTGGAAGAGAGAGTCAGAGATAGGAGGGAGACACACCACAGGGAGTGGGAGCCTGCCCTGTAGCCAGGCCAGGCCAGCCGGCCAGTCAACCAGCCCAGCCCAGGAGCTGGCCCCTGACCCAGCAGGGCCCCCTCCCTAGTGGGGGGCCCTGCTGGGCCAGCTGCCAGGGGCCAGGCCTCCCTCTCAGCCTACCTCCCACCCCCAGCCTCTGGGCCGCTTAGGCCTCTGCCCCCGCCTCCACCGCCCACGCTGTCCAGGCTGCCTAGGCCTGGTGGGATCTGGGGGCCTCCCAGCTTCAGCCCCTCCTCCCCCTCCTGGAGCTTCCCGCCAGCCCTGACTGTCTCTTGCAGGCTCCCCATAAGCCAGCGCTGTTCCTCACTGCCCACCAGGTCCTTGTCCCAGTCTCTGCTCCTGCTCTGGCTCATTTTCTCAATCTCCAAATGTGGGTGTGCATCCGTTCTCCATCCTAATTCCTGTGCAGCTCTGAGGCCACTGGAATTCCTCCGGCTTTGAATTAGGCAATACCTGTCCTGTGCCCTTGCCTCCTTCCCAGGATGGGCCCTCTAAGGCTGCTCTGGGGCCTGGGGGAGGGCAAGGCCCCGGGAACGAGTGCCTTTTCCTCACACCGTGGGATTCTGTAATGTGGGGTTGCTGGAAACTGTGGAGATGTCACTTTGGCACTCCCATGGGCCAAATGCCTCCTTCAGATGACTGTGCCTGACCTCAGCCTGATCCCCAGCTATGGAGTGGGGTAAGTCCAGGCCAGGCTGACCTTCATTGGATCTCAGTGTTTCTGAGGCACTTTATAGGGTTTCCCCCCCTTGCTCATTCATGGGCCAGCCAGTTTGAGGTCACTGACCCCTCAGCACATCCTGTCAGCCAGTACCCTGAAGCTCAGAACACACTGTCGCACATGTACACTCACACGCAGCTAGAGAACCCCCACCCTACCCTGCATATGGCAGAGATTCCCAAGTTGGGCTTGTACCACTAAAACTGTGCTCTACTGCTGGAGATAAAATGGGACTGCCCCAAACTTATACCTCCACTCCCACAGTTTCTTCTTTCAACTCACCATGGGGTAAGAATGACCACACAGGGTACATGGAACCTTGCTGGGCTTGCAAGAAAAGCCTCGCAGTCCTCAGCCAGACTCGGAGGCTAGATTGTTACCGTCCTCATCTGCAGCCTCTCCCTGTATCTTACAGTCACCACTGGTGACTCAGTCTCCATGGTGCCAGTGTACTTGGACTGGTGGTATCCTGTGTGGCTGTCCACTAATGAGCCTGCCTCTCAGCATCCCTGTGTCTCCCCCACAGTTACTCTGTTGAAACGGGGACTTACTAAGAGCTGCTGAACACTTGCCCGCCGCAACGCCCACAGTCACCATGACCCCCTTCTGGTGCTCTGAAAAGTTCCTGATAAGCTCGAGCATAGCAAGCTTCGCAAACAAACTGTATAAAACCTTGCCACTTCGGCTTTTGGGGCTTGGTCTTTCAGGAGCCTACTGGTGTGACAAATAAATCTCTCTCTTTCCACCCCTCTGAGTGCTGCCTGATTTCTCTGGGAAATTGCTGTCACAGTGTGACTGGCAGCCTTTTGCATCTTGGATTCTGAGGTTACTGTGATGGTGTCAGTGTCAACAGGTGTCATTGCTCCACTGCTGCTATCATTGCTTGTGGCTTAGTCATCATTGTCGCTGTAGTGACTATCAGCACCCCATGTGTCATTTTAATTGTGACGGTTTCATTTTTACAGATTGTTGTTGTCACTGTGTAATGGTATCTATGTCACTGTGGAACGGTGGTAGTAAGTTGGGTCCTCAAATCTGTGTCTTGCTGTGCCTCCTGTGTGTGTGCACGATGACCTTGTGGGGTCTTGTGTCAGGAGAGGTGCTGAGTTTCTTATGCTGAAAGGCAGTTTTGAGCTGCTGGGAACCAGGCTCCTCTGTTGCTAGGGGGGTGACCCTCTGTTCCCTCTTCATTCTGGTATTGGGCCAGAGGCGAGGCTGGTGCCCTAGAGAGGTCTACTAGGAGCCTAGGCCAGTTTGTATAGTCCTCTTCTGGAGCGCTATGGGATTTAGCCCCTGCTATATCATGGGCCATGGGGTGTGGACTTGGAAAATTCCTAGGAAAGTTCTCTTAGCCCTGGGGTGGGTGGCCTGAGGTAAGGGAGGACAGTGTGTGTGTGTGTGTGTGTGTGTGTGCACGCGCGCGCACAAGCACGCGTAGCCTCAAGCCTCAGTGCCTCTAGCTCAGCTCCCTTACCTGGGAAACAGGCTGTGCTCTGAGGGAATGGGGAATTGAATTGACATCTGAGGCCTTGTGGCTCTGCAAGAAGAGGCAGAGATTTGCCAGGGTGGGGGACTGGGCTCCTCGATGCTCAGGGAGAGCCCAACAACCCCCAGAAAAATCTGTCTCTCTTCCGCAAGTATTGTAGTGCTGACATCATCCTCTCCTCACACTGGGGGCGCTGGGGGTGCTTAGAGAATGCGGAAGGGTGGGCCCAGAGACCCTGCCAGGGTTTCCTTTCTCTCCTTGTCTGTCTTTCCTTTTGCTACCCTTGACTCTGCTTTCTATCTTCTAGGCTTCCCATTTTCCCCCCCTATCTCCCATCTTTCATTTCTTCTATTTCCTTCTTTCCTTGTCCCTCTGGGTCTCTACTCCTGGCTTTCCCTGTCTCTCCCTCCCACCCCATCTCTCCTTTTCCTGGGTGCCCCCCAGCCATGCAGTGTCTGTCTTGGTGCCCCATCCCCCACTCTGCAGTGCTCACTCTCAGCAGCGCTGTCTCCCATGGCTGCAGCCCCGTTGGCCCAGGGCCCGGCCCTTACAGTAACTCATCGGGCTGATGGAGGCGACTTTGATGAAGAAGCCACCCCTCCCCCTGCGGGGCTTGTGTGTGTGTGTGTGTGTGTGTGTGTGTGCGCGCGCAAGCGTGTGCATGCATGCATGCACTAGTATGCATGTACACCTGTGCCAGGCTGTCTCTTCACCCCAACTCCCTCAGTTAGAACCAGAAAGGCCACCTTGTTCTTCTCCCATCCTGCAGTGGGAGAAGGGAGGGTCTGCTCCATCTGCTCATCCACAGTCCCATGGCCTGGTTCCTGCTCCCTGTGACAGGCAGAGGGGCCAACCTTGAGGTGGAGTGTCTGTGACTTTGACAGCTGTCTCACTCTCCTAGGACTGAGAAGTAGCTGCATTTGGGGGAGTGGCTGAGGGTCAGAAGAGCCAGGCCAAGTGGTAGCCAAGGCCTCAGGTGTCACTGACATGGAATAGGTAGCCAAAGGCACATGGGCCCTGGAGAGAAGAGCCAGGGAGGGGCAGACACCTGTGGCTATCTCCCGACTCGCCTGGTGAGGGCTGCATGTAACAATGGGCAAGCAGAAACCCCCTCTCATAAAGGGGCTCCTTAACTACCGTCACCACTACAGGCTGCCCGCTGCTAGAGCCGTCTGCAGTGTATCTGGCTGTGTCTGGCAGTTTGTCTGACTGTGTGTCTGAGTGTCCCTGGCAGTGTTTTTAGTGGTGTGGATACTTCCTGACTGAGCATCTGGCTGTGTCTCTGGCTCTCTCTCTAGCTGTTTTTCTGGGTGTCTGCCTGTTTGTTTCTATCAGTTTCTCTGGTATTTCTCTGCTTGTGTGTCAGGCAGTTTCTCTGGCACAGTTTCTGACACTAATCTGGCCCTCTGGTTATGTTGCTGACGGTTTTTCTGCCCGTGGTTCTTGTTCTTCTTCTGGTGGTATGTTTTCTTGTGTCTGATAGGGCTTTTACAGTGTTCCAGGCAGATCCTGGACTGTTTTCTTGTTTGGCTTTGTCTGATTGTGCCTTACACCGTCTCTCCAGTATGTCTGTAACTGTGTGTGGAGCTGTTTCTTTGGCGGTTCTAGAAGCTTGTTTTCAGCAGCATCTCTGGCTGCTGTCTGCTCAGTGCCAGGCTGTTATCTCCGACAGTGGCTGAATGTCTAAAAGTGTCCTTCTCTGAATCTCTGCTGTCTGGTTGACAGTTATTGTCCCTCCTAAGACTGGGGTGAGAGAGTCAGATTGGAGGTCTTTTCTATAAGAAACACTTACTTCCTTGCATGAGGTTTGAGTGTGTGCTGGGCCACACAGCAGGGAGTTTCAGGGAAATGTTGGCTCCATCCTGAGAAACAGGACAAATAGGGGCATCCATCTAAATCTGGGGCCATGTCCTGACTGTGCGCTGACTACCTGCGTGTGTACCTGTAGACAGGGAGTCACATCTGTGAGGCTGGGGGTCCCAGGCTCCTGAGACATGTGCTAAGGTGAAGACAGGCTGGGGACCCTGACAAGGACTTACGTGAAAATCCCTCCTTCTTCTCTTGGTCATTGGTGGACACTAAAGCAGGAGCCACATCTGACCCGGGTCAGACCTGCCACTGCCCTGGTGCCCTTCTGCCCTGAACTTCCTAGAGCCGATGGCAACGTCCCTGGGGCAGACCTTGGTGGCTCCTAAGCATCCAGGTTCCCGACTGTCTCCCTAGGAGCACAGCAGGGGGCCTTCTAGTCAAGGCATTTCGGAGAAACACAGACCTCCAATTAAGTTAAAACATTGCCTTTCAGTTTGCAACGTTTATAGCTAATTAGCCAATCTCATCAGTAAAGTTATTATTATTATTATTGTTATTTTTTGGTGGAAAAATGGCCAGTGTTGTATAACTCACCTGTGGTTGACTTCCTCCTGCAGCCAGCAGCCGTATCGAACAACAAACCACTGTAGGTTGCCTTCTACCATCCTAGCAAACCTTTGCCTACGGATGCCAATAATATTGCTTTCTACTGCTTGAGCCCCATTAAGAAAGGCACTTGGGGTCAAGGTGGTCCTGCCCTAGGGCTGGGATTTCCCCATCTTGTCTGAGAGCAAGGGGCTCCCCAGGAGGTTCCTGCCTGGGCAGCTGCTGCTCCTGCCCACCACACCCCGACTGCCCCTTCCCCTCCTTTCTCCCAACAGATGGCCACTCCTGTCCCGTGGGCCTGCTGTGCTGTGCTTGCTGCCGCCGCCGCCGTAGTCTACGCCCAGAGACACAGTCCACAGGGTGAGTGCCGGGGAAGGGCCACATGAGAGAGAACCCTTGTGTTAAAGCTGCATGCGCCCAACCAAGAGTCATATGTTGGCACCTGCTGGCGTCATCCATCACCCACGACTACACAGTGAGTCCTGCAACACTGATACACAGGGTGATGTCTGCGTTGGTGCCTCATAGGCACAGTCCTCGAGTCACTTGCAGGGCGTCCCATGCTGATGGCACCTCGGATATGTTCCTCTCCCCACTAGGGTGGGCATAGGGTCCAGGCAAGTGGGATAGGAGTTTGGGGCTACTAGCTTCCCTGGGCATTTGTTGGAATGCAAGGGGAGGCAGTGAGAGATCCTGGGCAAGGCTGCTGGCCCCCTTCTGCCCATAGTCTAATTCTGAGGAAAATGGGGATAGAGATGGTGGACTGAAAATAAGGGGGGGAGAGGCAGGGTGACAAGTGAGAGAGTTGGCATGCAAAGGGAGGGGACAGGTCAGTCAGCCGGAATGGCTGAAGTGGGGATCCTCTACTATTGGTCCCCTTGAGGGCTGAGTCCTCCCTATAGCCCACACAGTAAAGGAGCTGCGTCCCTGCTGGGGATTAGGCACTCTTAGTTTGGCCACCAACCTGTCTGCACATTTGAGGTGGCATCTCAAAAGTACAAGATCTTACTTTAAAACCCCTTAAATAGCGGTCCAAGTGGAGGGGCACCCCCCACTCTTGGGAGGATCCTACCTCATTCACCTCAGGTGGGTAGAGGCTGCAAGACTGGGCATTTCTGAGGGCTCAGGCACAGAGCAGACCCTGGTGACTGAGCTTTGTCCCCCTCAAGCCTATGGGTTCAAGGAGGGCAGTGGGGCAGTATTTTTTCCTTGGGAAACCCACACAAAGCCAAGAGACAGCCTGACCTGCCTAGAGCTGCTCCCCAGTGGGCTGGGCTAGAAGGGGCCATGAGGCCAGCTCCAGCCTGCAGTCAGCCTTCCCTGGGCGCCCGTGTTGACCCTGCCTGCCAGTGCTCTGTGCTGTAGGCCTGGCATCTGCACCAAGTGGAAAGGCAGAGCCACGTGTGGCCTCGGCCCTGGACGAAAGGCCGAATCTCTGAGGGTGTGTGAGACTGTCCTTGTGCACCAAACCGTGTCCTTGTATGCTTGCGATCCATGTCCCTGCTTGAGTGCATTTCTCTATGGTTCTGTCCTCGTGGGATCTGACATTGTCTGTCCTTGTGGGGCAGTGCCCTTGTGGTTGAAGCTGTTTCCTGTGTACGCTAGTTTGAGAGTTTGTTTCTTTGTGTGACAGCGGTCACCCTGTGTGTGGGACCAGTCCCCACGTGTAACTGTGCCTCTGGGTGATGCACCCTGTGGTTGGGTGATGCACCCTTCCCATGCACGCCTGTGGTCTTGGATCAGGTGTGACTGTCCCCGCAGTGGGGCAGTGCCCCTGTGTAACTGTCCTCGTGGGTGGCTGTCCTGTGTTGTGGGCTCATTGTTCTCGTGGTGACTGTCCTCATCCTATGTGTGTGGTGATGTGAAGTTCCTTAGGGTGGCCCAGGGGGCTGTTCCGGCATGCGGTCCCCATGTGAGCCCGTGTGTGCAGGTGTGAGTGAGCCGTCAGCCCTGTCCCTCTGTGTTCTCCCTGTCCATGACCTCATCCTGTCTCTGTCTCTCATCCTGGCTTCTAACAACCTTTTCACAGCTGATTCCTTTGGAGCATTTGTCACCGCGTCAGGGCCAAGAACCCCATCCTCCCTCTGCTGCTTGATTTAATTTCTGAAATGGACAGCACATCAGTAGGGGCACCCATGGGGCGGGAGGAGAGCTGTCCAGAGACAAAGGATTAAATCACTGCCGTCTTTGGAGCTGTTGCATGGCTGTGTGTATCGTCATCGTTGTGTTATTGTAGCAGTTGTGATGCTGTGTGATTGTCATGTCATGTTGCCCCCTCCGCCTCTGTATTGTGGCCTGTAGTTGTCCTCTGTCATTGTGTTGTCCTTTTCTTGTTCCTGCCCTGCCCTTACATCGTTGGTTTGTCATTGTTGTCATGTTGTGTTTCCATTTTCTTTGTGAGACAGGCAAGGTGCGGTGGGGCAGTATTATCCTGTCTTCTCTCATACTGTTGTGCTGTTGTGTTTCCTCATTGTGTGGCTGTTTCTGCCCCCAGGTATTAAAGGGTCATACCGGGTCCATTGTAGTTCTGAGCTACTATTGGTCAGTGCTGATGTGTTGCCACTGGGACTATGATGGCCACGTCCCCTCCCCAGCGGTCAGTTTTCAGCCTTCTGCTCAGGCAGCTGGATGCAAAGTCTGCTGGGGGGGGCGGTGGGAGCGGGTTGCAAAGAGAGGGGCTTGGCATGTTTCCTGGAAGCTCCAGGTTTTTGGAAGGGAGGCTGGAAGGGGGCTCGATGCTAGGGCTGGTGGGTTGGGGGGGCTCCATGGTTGAGCCTTGGACACTAGGCCTCTGGTCAGGGGGAGGCCCCATTCAGTCTCTGGTCCAGACTCACAGCTGTGGCCTCCAAGGCCCCCAGCCACCACCCTTCCGCCTGTTCATCCTCTGCTCTACTGGTCCCAGGCCCCGCAGACAAGTGGTCAGGGCTGACTGGGCTTCCTGCTCCCCTCTCCTCGGACAGGGACAGAGAGGCTCAGAGAGGGGCAACACAGAGACAGGCAGCAGGGGAGAGACCAGGAGACACAGAGAGACCCCTGCACACAGGCAGACAACAGAGGCAGCAAACAGGGACAGATGTTCCAGCACTGAGAGAAGTATTGGAGGGGGTGGGGGGGTGTGCAATGGAGGGAAGGGGGCAGCCGGCTGACTTAGAGGGATCCCTACCCCCTGCAGTCCTGATGGTGTTAACAAGTCTAATTAAGAGGCCACTGGCCCAACTTAATTGGCTCGTTAACAGGAATTGCCTCTGAAAATCCCCCAACTCAGCGGGGTGGCTCTCTGGAGGGGAGATGTGAGCGAGTGTTAACGAGGGATCCCGCAGCCCCCCTTGCCTCCTCCCCCTTCGCCCCTCGCTCTTCCCCTCCCACCCTCACTCCACAGATCTGGCCAAGACCAGGGAAGCATCTGTCCTCCCAGGCTTGAGGGGCAGGATGAGAAAGGAGAATCGCACCTCCAGCTCGGTATGCCTGCCTCTCTGCTGTTGGAGCTTGGTGGCTCTGACTTTCTCTGTCCCACTCGCCTCCCCCACCCAGAGCTGCCTCTCAACAGGTGCTCCCTCCCACCCTTCCACTCCAGTCTCCTGGGCTCAGTCCATCACGCCTGGGTTGCTGAGGCCAGGGCTGGGGTTTGCTTTTGGCTCTGACAGGTCCCTCCTGGGGGCAGGAGAGGAATGGCCAGAGAGCTCACTCAGGCCCAGCATTCCCCACCCCCAGCAGTTCCTGCTTCATGGAGTTGACAGCTGCCAGGAGTTCCCTAGGGCTCCTGTGCTGGACCCTGCCCATTCTCTCTTCTGCTGCTGCCCTGGCTGGTTGGGGATGGGGAGGCTCATCAGGGGGGCCTTAGTTGGGGAGAAGTTAGAGAGGCAGGACAAAAGGAGATGAGGTGGGGAAAAGAAAGAGCTGGGGGCGGGAGATAGACAGAGCTCAGGAGTGGGGTCCCAAGCGCCAGCCTGCCTGGGTCGCAGATGTCAGTGACTTGGAGCTGGGCCTGTTGATGGCAAGAGGCTAGGGTCATGGGGGTCAGGAAAACTTTTTAAAGGGCCAGAGGTGAAATCAGTTCTCCTCTGAGAGCTAACTCTTCCCAGCACTTTATACAAACTCGCTCTCACACACACAGGAGATCACCCATTTATACATACACATGCGGATCTGGAGATTGTCATATACCTGTACACTTGCACAGCCACAGAGAATTTCACACATTCCTTTTCTTCTCCAGACACTCACACAGTCGCCGTCAGACACAGAGCCGCTCGTTTGTATTCACAGGCTCCAACCCATTCATGTGCAGTGTGTGGGGGTGTGTGCTGGGCAGGCCAGTGACCTGAAATGTTTGCTCTACACCCTCCCCATCCCCCACAGAGGCACCGCACGTGCAATACGAGCGTCTGGGCTCAGATGTGACACTGACGTGTGGAACAGCAAACTGGGATGCAGCTGTGACGTGGCAGGTGAACGGGACAAACCTGGCCCCTGACCTGCTCAATGGCTCTCAGCTTGTGCTCCGTGGCTTGGAACTGGGCCACAGCGGCCTCTACGCCTGCTTCCACCGTGACTCCTGGCACCCGCGTCACCAAGTCCTGCTACACGTGGGCTGTAAGTGTTGCCCCAAGCCCAAGCCCTTTGTCCTCCCGCCTACCTCATTTAAGGGGCTTGCACTCGAGGACCCTGTGGCGTGGGGAGGGGATCTGCAGCTCCCTAACCCTGGTTTCTGATCCTGTCCTGTCCTAGCCTGCTCTTCTGCCTTTTTTTTTTTTTTTAAGTTTTATTTATTTATGCTTACAGAACTCGGGTACAGGCCAGAGGTTCAGGGGCGGTAAGAGGACTCACCAGAGACAGTGGGGAGCAGAATAGGCAGATTGACAACATACACTGCTGAGGGGAGCAGCGGGCGGGTCAGCAGGGGTCTCCCACACCATGTGGGTCACCTCCCTGGCCGGGGATTGAACTCGTGCTGCAGAGGCTTAGGAGAGCTTCATAGTGTGATGCTTTAACCTGTTGCACCACCAGGGAGAGCCCTCTTCTGACTTCTTAGCCCAGTCTTGCCCACTGACTCCACATCCCTGGGCATCTTGCTCAGCTATCCATCCTCCAGAGGACTTTTAAGATCCTGAGCTCCTGTCTTTCCTGTGACAGGATGCACTGAAGGAGGGCTGGCAAGGGACTGCCCATCTGGGGCCTGGTCAGGAGGAATCCCAGGGTCAAGCTTCAAGCTGCAGTGACCAAACATTACTTTCACAGGGCTGGTCATAAGGACCTTCAGGAGGGAAATGGAGTTTATGGTTATGAGGTAAAGGTGTGGGTGCTGTGAGAGACCCAGAGAATGAGGAAGACTTCTGGAGTGGGAGACAGGTGGGGATACATTGAAGAAGTCATTTCTAGCAGAGAACTGAGTGTGACTATAGGCCCCAGAGGCTGGAAGGGCCTGAAAAGGTCCTAGAAGCTGCTCACTGCAGTGAGGAGAGGCAGGTTGGAGGAGGCAAAGTCACGTCTGGAAGGAGGCAGTTGCTGGAAGGCAGAGGAATTGATCAAGACCTGGCCGCAGAGTTGGGGAAGTTGAGGGGAAGAAGTTGACCTCAGGAGGTCATGATGTTGGAGGTAGGGAGGACAGGTCAGTAGAGAGCAGCCAGGAGTTGAGGCAGCCAGTGGAGCCAATGCTGCTGGAGACAAGGTACAGACAGGGTCAGTTGCAGGAGAAGATGGCAAGTTCCACCGGGATCAGTGTCTTAGTTTGTGTTTCCTGAGACTAAGATCCCAAGATGGAAATTCACATGAATTCCTGTGAAAGTAGTTTATTCCGACAGGTGACAGAAATGGCGAAAGGGAATGGGAAAGCAATAGGAAAAGAAAATTAGCTATTAATGACAGAGCTGGAACCCACTTCAGAGCTCTGGGAGCCCATGCCCCTTGAGTCTTTGTGCCTGAGGGGGAAGGGGGCTCAGATGCTTAATACAGGAGTTCCTGCTCATCCTGGCTCACCAGTCTCCTGGGTGGGGGTGGGGATGCTTGCATTCCCCAGCACTTCTGGCCCAGTGCCGAAGACTCTGCAGGCAATGCAGGCTTTGGTGGCCAAAGAAAGCTCTTAGGCAAATAACTGCAGAAGCGGACAGTGGCTATGGGTGAGGGATCTGCGGCATCACCGACGTGGGAGGCAGACCTTAGATTGGGGTACTCTGGGGACAACTGGCATTTGGTGGCCGATAGCCAATAGATCTGAGGGTCGGGCTCAGGGAGAGAAACCTGTGCTAGAGAGGGGATTTGGGGGGTCGTGAGCCACAAGGCCACTGGAGTAGGGGGGTAATCGCTGCTGTCTAAGGGGTTGGTGGAAAGAGAAATGAGCTACAAAAAGAGATGAAGAGCCAGCAGGAAAGTAGGGGTGGGGGGAACAAGTAAATGTGGTTTGGCAGAGGGGTCGAGAGAAGTATAAATGGTGAGGTCAGTGCAGCTGAGGGTCAGCTGGGTAGGTGGGCGATACTCTGAAAACAGGTCCTTCTCTGGCCTCCTCCTGACTGAGTGATGCATGCCCCACTCTCTGAAGGTGGTTTCTTTTCTCTCTGGGAACCCCTGAGGAGAGAAGATGCTTGAGGGGGCAGGCTCTTGCCCAGCATCCTCCACAAGAACTGTTACCCTCTAGCTGGACGAGAGCAGGGGTGAAAGTGCGTTTTGCTGGAGATGTTCCTTTCCTCACAGAAAAATCTTTTTTGGTGCTTAAACTGGAGAAATGGCATTCATAACCAAGTGTCTTAGTTGCAAGCCAAGGATGAAGTGACCCTTGGGAGCAACTTGAGACGCATAGGACCAGCCAACGTGAGCCCTCCCTGGCCCTCCACAGGCTCCATCAGAAAAGGGGAGCTCAGCCTAACCCCAGGCCCTTACCCTGGGGAAAAGGCCAGAAGTTGGATGTGGAAGATGGATGAATTCAGCTTGGCACCACTTGCCCATGCCCCTGTCTTCTCAGTTTGAAGATGGGATGGATAAGGCTGGGCATTGGTGACCCTGGGCTGGTGTTCTTAATGGCTTGTTCTTCTTTAAGACATCTGTGGAGGGAACTGGACCTAAAAGTAATGCCTGTACTTTGTACCCATGGCACAGATGCCCACTTGTGACCAGAGCCCAGACCTTTAGTATACAATGCTGACCACTCCCCCAGCTCCACCTGTCAGGGGAGAGCTGGCCAGGAATTGTCTGTAGCATTAGTAAGAGGTACTTACCTCTCATTGCCTTATTTCCTTCCAAAGAGCTGGTCAGAGGAACAGGGGACATTAATCATGATTGCCTCAATCACTTTATATTAGTAACAAGAGACTGAGTTTGGCAACACTCAATATCAAATTATCCTTCTTGCCAGCTCTCAGAGAACAGTACAGAGTTACCCCTGATTTGTAGATCATTCAAACCAACCATTATTTAATATTTACCCTAACATAATGTTTTCATGCCTCTATCTCCAAAAGAAACTGATCACAAAAGTATCCTGTTGAAAGTTCCCTTAACCAGGAGACCCCTGTACTATTTTTTCCGTGGGCTACCTTCTGCCCTCAGTTGGAGACTCACAGAGGGCAGTTCCAGGGAGCCCCCCACCCCCATGATAAAAGATTATGCTGGGATTCCTTTCAGGGGCACCCTTTGTTTACTAGATAGGGCTGATTCAGTGCCATTTAGACTTTCAAGTTAAAACAGATCAGAGATTAGCTGATTTTTAATGGACAATTCCTTGTCTAATTTTAAAATATTTTTATTTGATTGGTCAGCACAGGAACGCCAGACCCCCTGGGTCAGCACTCTCTTCCTCTCAGCCTTGTTTGACTGGGAAGGAAAGAGAAACTTGTGGTTGAAGATAGATGATGTCTGGGAGAAAAGATGGTGGGACGCAGCAGGGTGGCATTTGGGAGTTCATAAGTTGAGGTCCCCAGAGGGATGTCATGATGTGTCCTGGACATCGAATGACAGGCAGGAAGAGCAGCATGGGTGGGGCCTGGGCAGGGCTGGAGCTGGAAGGGTCACCCTGCCCCACCCAGCCTGATCTGGCCTGGCCAGGGGTGTGGGCAGCCAGCCCTGCCTCCCCTCTGGGCCGGCAGGCAGACCTCGTGCGTGCCGGGGGCTCCAGCCCAAGCGGGCTGGCGAGATGAGAGGAAAAACATGCGGTTTGGTGGGCTGGACATGGAAAAACAAGCCAATTAGGAGGAAAACAAACAAATCCTGGGCCAGCAGGGCCACATGCACGCATGCACACGCACACACAGCCCCGAGTGGGACCCAGGGGCACTGCCACAGACTGACATCGTCCCGTAAGCATTTCAGGAACCCCCACAAGGGGCTACTCAGGTTGCCCAAGCATCAGCAGCACTCCTGGATGCCCGCAGAGTGACGTGTTACTTGTGTGCGCTAAGTTTTGCTCACACACTCCCGCTAACATGCTGTCACACATGTTCCACTCACTCAGGCAAACACCTTTGGCGTTATCGGCACCCCCGCACCCATAGTTCAACAGATACATTCAGGCATAGGCTCCGTCTCCTGTGCGGTGTCTCAGGTGTGTGGTCTTGCTGTCACTGCTTCAGACCCAGAGGTGCGTGTACGCATGTTCTCAGTACTGTGCGGCACCACGCGCCAGGCAACCTTGAGTCAAACGGCCTCACCCTGAATCTCGCAAGCGCAGTCACCCGGCGCACAAGCCGGCACACAGTCACACCGTCACACGACTACCCCGAATCAGTCACATACAGAGCCTCTCGGACTCACACACACAGCTTCATAATTGCAGCTTTCAAAAAACAGCTTCTCCCTGCCTCGAGGCACATGCACCGTCGGCCTCCTGATCGCACACTGTCCCACAACCTCACACTTGGTCTCTCACAGCACCCCCACCTCCACCCACCCGGCCCCTCAGCTGGGCTCCAGCTGCAGCAAGTCACTCCTTTTCTTCCTTTTCTTTGTTTTTCTTTCCTCCTTTTCCCTCTGCGAAACCTGGTCCCTGTCAGGAAACCCAAGCCCTTCCCTGCTCAGGGCCCAGGGCCAGGCAGGAGTAGCCAGATGACAGACAAAGCCCTGCCTGGTCCCCTGGCCCCCCATGACCTACCCACTGAAAGAGGGGAACCAGATCGATGGGGAGGCTTGCGGGGGAGTGGTCTGAAGGAGGAGGACTGTCAGGGGAATGGAGGTTGGTTAAGAAGGAGGCTGGCAGGGGTGGGGGCCGGTGAGTCCAGGGCCATGGCCCGCTCTGCCCTCCAACGAGCCCCAGGTGGCAGGGAGCTGACTCTGCAGGCTTCAGTCCCCCCTCCCACCCCGCCTAGCACCCTTCTCCTTTGAAGCTGGGGGTAAAGGGGGGGGCAGCAGGAGGGGGGAGTGGAGGCTTCTCGGCTGGCCGACCTCAGAATGTCCTTTCCTCCTGGGGTGGCTGCCAACTCTGGCCTGGCCCACAGGCCCCCACAAGGCACTTCCTGTGTCCTTGGCCGCCCCCCACCCCACCCCCGCACCTCTGCGCCCCTGGGCAGATAGGAAGGGATATGAGAGGTACACAGGATGAACATGGAACAGACACAAGGTGGACATGAGGCCTGAAAAGCTTCCCAGGGGAGCTAGACAGCAGTGGGCAGAACGCACAACCCCTCATGGGGGTTCAGCCGGGCTCTGGCTCTCCTCTGCAGGCCTGGGGTATGGAAGAGCCTCTGCCCACAGCCTAGCCCACTCCACCTGCTCCATCCAAGCTTTCCTGTTAACCTTTCTGACCCCTTGAGTCTTCCCCTGTGCAAAGTTAAACTGGGCTTTGGGGGTTCTGCCCTGCACATGTACCAGACATGTACATAGTCACTCACGCTGTGCACATGGGGCTGAAAGACCGTGACGCCCCGTGTGTCACCAGGGCCACTCGGCAAGCATAGACATGCATTCCCCTTACGTCCCTGGCTTACTGAGCTGCCCCCCCTCCCATTTCCTGTCCACCTGTCAGGCAGGGGGCGAGGGGGGGTATGGGAGGGAGGTGTCAGTGTCCCTGGAGCCACAGACGGACATTCCTTGCCTGGGTCAGATCACAGGAGCTGCCTCCTTCCAGGAACCTGAGCCGGCTGTCCTCACGCCTTGCCCAATGCCTGAGGGTGGGACAGCTGGGCTAAGTGCTCACAGCAGCAAAATGAGTATAGTTAGACAGCAGAAAAGACTGCCAAGGGTGTGTGTGTGTGTGTGTGTGGTCATGTAGGTGGTTGACTCCATCCAGGGTGTTAGTTCCAGCCTCTGGCTGGCTGTGTACCCCAGGCAGGTTTCTATCCCTCTCTGGGCCTCCACATCCAGAATGGAGGCAGCTGATGACCGTGTAAAGGGTGTCTTGTGATAGAGAAGCTAGGGCTGGGGGCTGGGACCGGGGGAGGTACACACCAAGGGAACAGCAGCTTCCTCGCAACAGGCGCACGCACACATACAGACCTACGTGGACACGCACTCTGAGAGTCACGCACACAGATGTTCCTATCTGTGTGCCCACATTCCACATGGGGTCACTCTCATCTGTGTCACGCAGACATACATGTAACGTATACCCATGCATGCAGACATACATACACAGACCAAAGGCTTCCCTGTGTTCTTGTTCCTGTGGAATTACAGGCCTGTCCTCCTGTTTCTCAGTTTCTACTGAGTGGAAACCTACGGTGTGTCTTGTCCAGAAGAGTATATCCTCATCACCCCAGCAAGGGGATCCAGTCAAGAGTCTCATCAGCCTCTCCTCTGTCGCTGTCTTCCTCTGGGAGTGGACAGTGTGGCTGGAGATGTTGCTGGTGGGGCCAATCGCCCCAACATCACCTCCATCCTGTGATTGATGAGCTGAGGCCCACAAACCCCTGCTCCCCACAGTTCCTGCTTCTATTGAGCAGGTGGGGAGGGGGGTCTCCCTCTCCCAGCCCTTGTTTTTCTTTAATTAAACATCTGGCTCTCTGTGGCCTGGGAAGCCTCAGACCCTCGCTGACAGCCCCCCCCCCAACCTTTGGCATTGCCGATGGGTTGAAGGGGGAGAGCTGGGGTTCTGGGGCCCACCTGTCCCCACACTTGTACAGGGGACTGGGGGCTCCACAAATGCCCTGACCATGTTGTCTTTACCCTCAGTGCCGCCGCGGGAGCCCGTGCTCAGCTGCCGCTCCAACACTTACCCTAAGGGCTTCTACTGCAGCTGGCACCTGCCCACCCCCACGTACATCCCCAACATCTTCAATGTGACCGTGCTGTGAGTATATGTGCTTGGGACTCATTCCAATCCCGACCTCTGACCTCTCCCTGCCCCACACCAGGCCCTCCTTCAGACTCTAGCCCAACCTTGGGCTTGACCTTCCAGCAAACTCTGCCTTTCTTGACCCTTGTTGGTAACAGTGCCTGGGCCTCACCCTCCCCAGGCACGGCTCCAAAATTATGGTTTGTGAGAAGGACCCGGCCCTCAAGAACCGCTGCCACATCCGCTACATGCACCTGTTCTCCACCATCAAGTACAAGGTCTCCATAAGTGTCAGCAATGCCCTGGGCCACAACGCCACCGCTATCACCTTCGATGAGTTCACCATTGGTGCGTGGGGAGGGGGTTTTCTGCTGCATACTCCAGTGAGTGTGTAAATGGATGTGTGCCAAAAGTGTATGTGCACATCGGTGAGGATGTTCACATGTGCACAGGTATATGTGGCATCTGTGTATGTGTATGCATGTATGCATGGCTTGTATATCTGTGACCAGGCAAGTGAATGTCCTTTACCTGCAGGGCTTGAGAGATCACAACAGCAGCTCTTCCCATCTCTGGCTCCCAGAGTTTGCAGGAGGGGGAGGGGGGACAGGCTGGGCCAGACCCTTGTGCAGCTGCAGCCTCCACACTACACCCCCCCCCCAAACCACGCTAATGGCTTCCTTACGGCCTGTGATGAATGAGGTGTCAGAACAGGAGACAGGACTGGGACAGATACTGCCCTCCCCTCCCCCATCCCAGCCAGACCCTCTGCCTGCCCCTGCCCCATCTCAGCCAGACCCTTTGCCTACTCTTACCTCATACCAGCTAGGCCCTCTGCCTCCTTCTGTTCCATCCCAACCAGATCTTCTTCCTGTCTCCCTACCCCACCTCTTGGCTGGGGTCGCCAACCAGACTAACTCTACATGAACTAGGTCCTTAGGTGTTTCCATCAGCAAACTGCTTACCTACAGCTCAAATCTGCAATACCTGTGGATTGTCTTTTAACCTTGACCCACAGAGTAGCTTCAAACCTTGACTTTTTGAAAGGAGGCCATGTTTCAGATTGGAACTGGCTAAAGTTGAGATGAAATGCCAAGCTTGATGTGGAGAGTAGGATGCTGCTGCAGCTGCAGAAGGGGGTATCTAAGTGACTGTAGGGTCATGGCAGTTGTTGAGACGCTGGTCATGACGATGGGGTTGGGATAATGGGGTGAAGTCTGGCATGATGAGCTCTTGAGCTGGTGACAGTGACTGCAGTGACAGTTGGTGGTGATGAAAGCAACATCAAAGGTGAAAGTAACGAGATGGTTGTTAACGGTGATTGACACAATGGAGAAGAGAGATGGTACCTGTGATGAGAATGGTTGGTGGTGTGAGATAGTGGGCATGGTGGCTGGTGTTGACAAAGTGGGGTCATTTCCAGAGGTTAGCGAGGTAATGAAGCTATGTTTCCTGAACAGTGAAACCTGACCCTCCAGAAAACGTGGTCGCCAGGCCAGTGCCCAGCAACCCTCGCCGGCTAGAGGTGACGTGGCAGACGCCCTCCACCTGGCCAGACCCTGACTCCTTTCCTCTCAAGTTCTTTCTACGCTACCGACCCCTCATCCTGGACCAATGGCAGCATGTGAGTGTCCACCCTGCCCAGTCCCAAGTTCCTGAATCGGCCACACAGCCTGGGAGGCACCCATATCCCACCGGTAGCTACTCCAGTGTGAAACTTGAGGGCAGTGGGGGGGGAGGGAAAAAGGGAGGAGGGGCAAAGAGATACCAGGTGGCTTGAGGGGATGGCTGAGAGAGGTGTCTTGATCTAAAGCCTTGGGGTTTCCCATGACCCCCATTAGTGCAATGGGGGTACATCTGTCCTTGTGGCTTCTCAGGGTCATGGAGGGAAATGCTGGAAGGGAGATGGCAGGCAGGATAGGCAGTGTTTCCCAATCCTTAGCTCTGGATCTCAGCCCTGATCAGGCCTCTCCCTCCGGGACTCTGTCCCAGGCTCTAAGCCTGTCCTGGGCCCAAGGGACAGGACAGCCCCTGTCCTCAAGGACACACACACAGGCTCAAGAGGTCAGGATCAGGCAGTGGAGTCAAGCAAGCTTGGTCCAGACTGTGAGCTCAGGCTGTAACTTGTACCAGTGCTCTAAAGTCAGATCTCTCTTAGGAGTTGGCTTAAGGTTGCCGATGAGAAGGTGACCTGGGCTAGGAACGAAGCAGTGGACAAGAGGTATTAGAGGTTCAAGCTGTAGTCTGGGATATTTATCCAGCTATGACAGAGAGCTCTAGGGAGCAGCCAGGGATTTGGGCAGACTTGAGGTTCTCTCCCTTTGAGAGTTCTAGGCCCTTGAGGTTGTGGGTTCTCTGTATGACTGATGACATCTGTCATTGAAATCAATCTAGAATTGGAACCTGGGAACATGTTCCACAGGGTAACCCAGTCTGGTTCCAGGAGGCCAACCTGTGCGCCAGCACATGCACTAGCCTCCAGCCCCATCTCATACCCCCACCCTGGCTGGTCTTTAAAGTGTGTAATTGGATTCCAGGGCGCCTGTCCTGGTTGCAGGCCTGGCCCCCACAAAGACTCACACGCTCACATGTTCCCTGACAGAGTCCGGAGTCCCTCCCGCCTGGCCAGCTGCCCAAGCCTAATGCATTGCTAATAACCAGGGTCTAGTTTCACAAGCCCCCCTCCCCCGCTAACGAGCTACAGGCAGCAGCCCTGCGCGTCGCAGCGCACACGCCTTGCAGTGGACCTGGCATACCGCCCACCACACACATGGGAACATGCTCATACGCACATGGTCCCCAGCAGGAACCATGCTCCATACATGCATGCATGTGACTAGCATGCCATGATCATGCTTTCGCGTGCACCATGAACAGAGCTAACCCCCCCGCCACACTGATGTGGATCAAGCAAGAACTCAGGCTCCATGACAAGAACACGTGTGGCCTGTGCTAGCCCTGCCCCGTGTCTCATTGGCATTGTGGTTGGCTAGATTTATGGCTCTTTTGAATAGGAATTTTGCTCTTAACAGATTTTACTCTCCCTGATCTTTGATCTTGAAGAGAGGCAGGTGTCTGATTGGGAGGGGATGTGGAAGAGAAAGCAGAGAAATACATCACTAGGTTTTCAGGAGGAAATGAGAGATAGAGGCCAGAAATTGCACAAGAAGTATGAGGTCTGGCAGGGGCTGTGCCAGTATGGACAAGGGGAAAGGTGACTACTGGGACCCACCATGGGTTTCCTGTGTCTTCTGCTCCTGGCCTAATTTGTCATCGGGAAGGCTGGCGGGGCATGTCCCACACCTGCTGCAGCAGACCCAATGGCAGACTCTGAAGAGGTAGATGCCAGCCAAAGGGAATTCCTGCCACTCGAGGAGCCGTTCTCTCAAGGAGGTGGATTAAGGGATTGATAACACCTAGTAGGAAGCATCAAGGCCCAGGAGATGTAGCTGCCAGGAGCTCTGACCTCCTGGGCCACCTTCTGAGAAGTACGGTGCCCACCTCCAGTGAGGTGGTGATTTGATCTGCTCCCCAAGGCTCTCTCCCTTTGGGGAAAGAGAGATGCAAAAACCTGAGGGACAGGAAGAGGTACCTAGGTGGGGGTAGCAGGAGGCTGAAGGAGCTCAGGCTACCCAACCAGAGGGCTTCTTTGCAGAGCAGAAGGGGACTGGGACCCATTGAACCCAACTCTAGGAGAGGAGGGTCGCTGAGGCCCACTCCCAAGGCTGGCAGTAGGACTTCCCTAGCCCAGAATGGCCCTCACCCTGACCCTCATCTTTGCCAATGCCTTCCGGCTCAAAGCCACAGGAGCTTCCCAATTGCAACACAGGAACACACAAACAAGTGGAGGGGGAGCCAGCTGCACACGTAGTAACACATGGCACACGTGTGCATGTCCTCACAGCCTGTCAGGTCAGGTAGCCCAGACCCATGTTTTGGGGGGAAGATTGGAACAGGGACCAAAAAAGCCCTGAAGCCAGACGTGGCCCAGAGCAGTGCACCCCCCCCCCCCCCCCCCCCGCCGGCTGCCCCTGTTTACGAGGCGGCTTAATGAGGCAGCGGGTGCCGCTGAGATGAACCAGAGCCCAGCCTGGGCCTGGGAGGGGCGCCGGACAGGCAGGCCAGCCTGGAGGGTTGGGGGGAGACCAGCAGGATGGGGCAGGCAGGGCGGGGGTGGGGTGACGATGCTTCCAGAGGAAATGGAGCAGCTGTCCTGCTGTCCTGCATGCTCCTGGAGCTGCCCTATCCTACCCCTTTCTGCTGCAGGCAAGGCAGGAACCACATTAAGGCCTTTCCGAGGGGGAGGCCGAGTGCGGGCCCTGGCCGGTGGGTGCAGTGGGTATCTGGGAGTCCAGGCACTAAGTTGGAGTGGATGATAATGACAGAGCTGGCTGAAGTCTGGTGCTTACCCTGAGCCGGAGTCCTCATTACAACCTCATGAGATAGATTGTTAACACCATTTTACAGATGAAGACCGCAAGGCATGTGGAAATTAAGCAACTTGGTCACCTAACTAGCAGGGGATAGAGCCAGAATTTGGACTCGGGCAGTCCGGCTCCATGTCTGTGTTTGTAAACTCCTCTCATGCAGCCCCTTGATGAGAGGGCAGCACACCAGCGGCCCTCTTCCTTCCCCCACCCGTATTCTTGCCACTTTCAGGTCAGGCCAAGAGTTGGGGGAGAACTGGGAAGACAGCAGAGCCTAGAACCTAAACAAAGTCACCCTTATTCTCCCCCTGGGGATGCTTCTAGTTGCCCTCAAAATATCCTTATTCTTCTTCACCTTCTCAAGGGTCTCCTCCCTGAGCTGTCTTTACTTTCCCTTTGGGAATATTCTCAGTGTCCCCTACCTCCCCAAGGCAGTCTGCACTCCCTCCAAGGTGTCTTCATTCTTCCCCTGGTCCCCTTCTGGAGGTGCTTCACCCTCCTGACTCTGGGGGTGTCCTCCCCCCTCCCCCATACACCCCCATGGTGTGGCTGCAGGTGGAGCTGTCTGATGGCACAGCGCACACCATCACAGACGCCTATGCTGGGAAGGAGTACATTATCCAGGTGGCGGCCAAGGACAACGAGATTGGGACGTGGAGTGACTGGAGCGTGGCTGCCCACGCCACACCCTGGACTGAGGAGCCCCGACACCTCACCACTGAGGCCCAGGCCCCGGGTGAGCCCCTGCCCCGCCCCGACCCTGTGCTCTCTGTTGCCTGGTTGGCTCGCACTGTTGCCTGACTCTGACCTGCCCTCTCCACCTCCTCCCGAGTCTTGGAGACTTGGGGATATCCACACTCTGTCCGCCCCTTCTGTTCCTGGTCCCTCTGTCTAGGTAGGTGTCACCCGTGAGCCTTGGGGAAGCAGGTTCTGCTTGATGGAAGAGGCAGAGCACATCTGAGAGAGGAGACAGGGGCTTTCAGATGGGGGAGGCAGCACCCATCTGACACAGGAAGCAGGAGCAGTATGCTTCGTGAACCCCCAGATCAGGGCTGGACCCCAGCCCTGCCCTGAGTTTCCCCCATGTTCCCCAGAGACCACGACCAGCACCACCAGCTCACCGGCGCTCCCGCCCACCACGAAGACCTGTGACTCTGGGGAGCCAGGCAGCGGTGGAGGACCCTCGGTCCCCTTCTTGATCAGTGTCCCTGTCACTCTGGCCCTGGCTGCCGCCGCTGCCACTGCCTACAGTCTCCTGATCTGGTAAGCCAAGTGAAACCAGGTGGCCAAATGACTGCCCTGCCCATCCCCTAAGGGGGCCCCCATCCCACCTTCATTCCTCACGGCCCCCCTTGCCCTGTCTCCCCAGAGCCCGGCATCCCGTGAGGACAATGCCAGCGCACCTGCAGAGAGCAGGAGGCCGGAGCTGAGCCCGCAGACCCCGGTTTCTATTTTGCACACGGGCAGGAGGACTTTCTGCATTCTCTTCAGACACAATTTGTAGAGACCCCGGCAGGCCCGGGCCTGCCTCCCCGTACCCCAGGCCCACCACACCACTTCGGCCCTCGCTCCCTCAGGGGAGGAGGACCATGCAGCTAACCCACCCACCAAAGACCCCTATCCTACCCTCATTATTATCCTGCCCCCTCGGGCTGGACCCTCCAAAGCCAGCGACTCCCAGGAGAACTTGGGGGGCCTGAGGGGAATCCCTCACATCCACAGTTTCTCCTCCTGCCCCAGCCTCCTGTCTGTCCCAGGGTCTCTGTTGCCACCATCAGATTATAAGCTCCTGACACTGGGGGGGCCCAGCCATCCCCCTCCCCCCAGCGCCCACACTTTTCAGTCCCCCACCTCTGCTCCTGTTTTGTACAACCCTTCCCTTCCCCTGTTCCTCCCCCACAGTATTTAATGTCCTGTCGGTCCCTTCTAGTCTGACTCAATGGTAACTTGCTGTATTTGAATTTTTTATAGATGTATATACAGGGGTGGGGGGGGTGGAGGGGTTCTCATTAAATGTCATCATTTCATGAGTCCTTGGAATAGATTTTGAGAGGTTACCCCCTTTCAAGACTTTCTCTCTTTCCAGGTCTGAAAGAGAGAAGAAACAATAGTTGGAGAGAAAATTCTCCATGTATGTTGGGGGAGGCCGTTAGTATTCCCTGGAGGCTAGAGGCAACATTGTGGAAAATGAGGGGCCCCAGTGAGGTAGGCCCCACGTGGGACTGTCTCATCAGTACTGGAGGGGACTGAAACCTGGCAGGGCAGTCACTGGAGCTGCCTTCCATGAGTGCCCAGGACTAAGTTCTATTCACAGGAGCAGAGAAGCAAGAAAGTGAGCTTATATTCATAGGATGGTGGGGATGAGGTCAGTCGCCCCTGCCACTTGGGAGACACAGGCCAGGTCAGACAACAGGGCTTGGGCGGAAAGACTGGATTACACTGTAGTTATGGCTTGGTGTGGGCAGGACAAGGATTTGCTTTAAAGGGGTGCTCAGTCTTTGATTCAACTCCATATCCTCTAGTCCCCAAACTGGGACCCCGGGGATCCTGTGATCTCTCTTTAAAGGAAGAGAGAACCCTGGCTGCCTTGGGGCTGCCCAGATTCAGCCCCCTTTTTGTAGTAGTCATCTCATAGCAGCTTCTTACCTGAGAATGCCTAGGGTTGGGGACAAGTTGGCAAGGACTGCTGACCTGGAAGAGGGAGCCAGGGGGTAGACCAGAACCCCCACCTTAGCTCTGGATGACTGGAACAAGAAGGGAGGGAGAGGTGGAGCCAAAGCCATGAACACACTGATCCACACACAGGAAGGTCCTTCCTGTTACACACTCCCCTCAGCAGATACTGAGCCCCACATATCCACTCAGACACTAGCTCCCCAACACCTCTCTCCCCAACCTGCCCTACTGATTCAAGCCCTTCCGAGACCATGGTAAGAAAATGGACGTTTCTGGATGGTCTCACCAGGCTGCCTAGGGTCATATCCTGGGAGGGGGATCTGTGGTGCTCCAGCACTGCTGAGTTAGATCTAGACAGTACTTAGGCTGTGAGTTGCAGCTGGTGAGGGCCCCGAATGAGAGTGACTGTCTCTCCTCCAGGCCAGGCACTCGAAAGGAGACTCCATGGAAAGTAATGGGGGTGTCAGGGTGCTGGGGCCTATGGCTTTGCAAGCTATGACAGCGTCCGGCTCATTCACAGGAAGAGGCTCCCAGGATGGACATCCTGAGAAGTGGCTAGGGATCAGATCCTGGACCCTGAACCTCCAGATCTGCTCCCATGTGTTCTGTCTAGTGCCTGTGGGGTGTGGCTCAGGCCTGACTCTATACTGTAGGTCCAGCAGGGGTGAAAGAAACAGGGGTCACCAACTCTTGCCAAGGCCATTGTATTCCTAGGATGAGTCTGAACCTCCTCCTTCCCTGTCCTTGGGGTGGGGGCCTTGAGGCTTGGTGGTCCTTGGCCTGTGCTCCCTTCCTGCCTTGAGAACCCTGGTCAGCCCTGACCCACCCACCGCCCACCCAGGGCTTGGGCATCAGCAATCTGGCCTCCATTAGCAACATAGGAAAGCAATTACGTGGGGCCTGGGGAGGAGAAAAAGGGGAGGGGGGCTGCTGGAGCCTCGGTGGCTGATGGAGAAGACTGGGGCATCTCCCTGCCCCCAATCCCAAGAGGGAGAGACAGCCCTGTTCCAAGCCCTGCGTTGGCTGGAGAGGCAGTGTCATGTCCTTGCACTGGACTGGGCCTGGGGATGGCCATTCCTTCTTGGAGGTCCTGGACCTTGACCTCACAGAGGCTGCTTGCCTTGAAGGGTCTCGGCTCCTGTCTGCCGCGGCCTCCCCTGAGTACTGTCCCTCCACATCTGCTGTTTCCCATGTGGTTCTAGGGAGCTGGGGAAAAGTATAGACATCAGTTCTTAGAGCTAAATCAGAACCCGGAGAAATAAAACACTGCTGAGAGAAAGGCCAGGCCGTGGTGGGAGGTTTGTATTCCAGTCTTGATGCACAAGTAGCTCAGCCTTTCAGCACACTAGCTCTTTGCGCCCCACAAACATACTAGAGGTGGACCCCTCCTCTTTTGACTGAACCCATTCCCATTCTCATTCTGTCTCTGTTCCAGTCCTGACTTGGAATATGTCTCTGTCCAGGCCCCTAATTTTGTGTTTCTCTCTGTCTGCATCTCCTGTCTGTTTCCTTCTTTGTCTCTGGCCGTCTCTTTCCCTATGCCCATCTTTGTGTTTCTGTCTCTCTTCCATATTTTTCTCTTAATGCCTTCCCATTTCAGAGTCTCTCTGTGGTTCTGTGTCTCTGCATATGGTTCCATCCTCATTTATGTCTCCATTCCTCTTCCCAGACCATCAGGTCTTCCCTTTCTTTGCCGAGCTGCCGCCCTTTCTGTGTTCCTGCCCTGGTCCAAACCCCAGCTATGGCTGCTGTGTCTCTCTGACCTGAGCTGGGGACTGTCTTGGCCTCTACTGCCCCCTCTCGGCTGCACTCCTACCCTTCATTCCTGCTCCATGCTGGTAGCTCTCAGCACACATGTTCCATAACTGCCTTCCCAGCAGCCAGCCAGGGGAGGAGGGTGGGATGGGGGATACTGGGCAGGAATCCCTCCCAGGCATCCTCCAGTGCTAAGAACTCACCAGAGCTTCCGAGTCTACCTCCCTGGGCTGAAATTCTCACACGGAGAGAATGAAATGCTTGACTCCAATCTCCAGTTCTGTGTCCTGCACCTGCCTTTGCCTTGAGACCACATGTCCACTGTACCCATTGCCCAGAGTTAGTGGTTCTGACCAGATAGAGATTTAACTCTCAGATAATGTTATCTGTCGGGATGCAGGACTAAAGCCCTGGGGGAAGGAATGATTGGGATGTAATCTTCAGTAGAGGGCTGAGGGAGGAGAAGGTTTGTAGAGGGGAGTCTAATATGAGAGGCTCAGAACACCTGAGCTGACAGGACACTGATGAGGAAGGTTTCTGGAGGTAAGTGGAGATGAGAAAGCCAGTGTGACAGGATTACTCTAAGAGGAGGCTGTCCTAGGACACAATCTGGGGTCCAGTCTGAGCTGGTAGACTGATCTAAAGAGTAGCAGAGGGGTCCAGTCACAGAGACTACTCTGAAGGCACATGATGTGAGAAGATGTCACCAACTAACTTTGTTTGCTTGAGACTGTGCCAGTCCTTACACTGAATACCTCAAGTTGTGGGGAACCACTCAGGCCCAGGCAAACTGGGGCAGTTGGTCACACCATTTGGGAAGGCCCTGCCTGACAGTGCCAGTCTGTTGGGAGAGGCTGATCTGTGGCCGAGTGGATGTGGGTGGGTCTGGTTTGACAGCTCCAGTCTTTAGGAGAGGCTGTTCAAAACTAGAAAGTTCTTTGGGGAGGGACCAGACTTGTGGGTACTGGAAGACTTGCGAGGGGATGAATAATTAGGAGCCTTCCAGAAGGGCAGTGGCTTGGGGAATGACCACCAGGGGGCAGGGCAAGCTCTCAGGAGAATCAGAGGTTAACAGCCCCAGAAAGGAAGACAGACAGGTGGGGCTGTGTGCAAAGTGCCCCAGTAGCATGTGCCCCCGCTGGGCCATCATGAACAAGTTGTGAGGGTGCACAACCAGGCTCTTTCTGTATGACTGGGTGACTGGGGCACAGCTGTGGTATATTAATGGGTAGCCGGTGGTGCAGTGTGTGCTTGTTGTGTCCATGGCCAAGGCCTTAAACCTGTGGCTGATGGGAAGGTAGCAGGAGAAGTGGGGGGAACCAGGAGAAGAAAGCAGTGGGAGTGAGGCAGTCAGAGAAGTTTCCCTGGGAACACTGAGATGGGGAGAGGAGACAAGGAGCCAGGCCTCCCTACCTGCACCTGCCTTTGCCAACTGTAGCATTTCCTAAGAGCCAGACTCAGGAAATACATACTTTGCTCACACACGGACAACTTGAGGCCAGTGTGCACCCTTAGGCCCTCCCTGCTCTCCTCTCCAGCTTCTCTCTTATTCTTTTTGGCCGGTGCTTTTCCAGCTGGACACCCCTATTCCCATCTGCGCTTCTCCCCCCTCCCCCCAATCATTCCTCCTATACCTTCCTACCTCCTTGGCTTCGTTCATGCTGTGTCCTGCCCAGGATACTCTCCGTGAAGTTTTGATGTGCTCTGCTGATGCTTCCATGGAATGATCCCTGCTTATTCCCCCGTCTACCATGGGCTGAACACCCACTGTGTGCCAAGGCTGAGTTCATGGGGACAGGGAGCTGCCAGGGTCTTGCTTAGATAAGGGAGTCTCAGGGGAGAGAGGTATGGACAAAGCATGGGAGGGATCTGTGGGTTAGGGTGGTAATGTGAAACTGACTAAGAATCAGTCCACCTACTTTCCTCCCCAACAACAACATGAATAAAAGTCAAAACAAAAATAAACTCAAATACCTTACATGTGATAGCCAGGGAAGTAACAGAAAAGATGAGTCAATTGAACTCCAAAAATTCTCACTAATATCCTGTAATCTGAGAGAAGCAACTTTGCATGAATAGACAGATTCTGGGAAAATTTGGGGAGTAGAAGCCCCAATGTAAAGGAAAGGCTTTGTGAGAAGAAGCCCCAATGTTCCTCCACAAATGCTCAGGAGAGGTAAGGAGCTGCCATGGCCTGGTATTTTCCAGGGTATGGGGCTGAGTTTAGGGGGACAAACTCAACTGGTAAGAATGGTATTACTCTCCACCCTCTAACTGGAACAAAATTTCTTTCTTTTTAAAAAGCTTTATTTATTTATGCATATAAGAACTGGGGTGTAGGCCAGAGGTGTGTGGGTGGGAGGTGAAAGGATTCACTAGAGACAGAGTGGAGAGCAGAACAGGCAGATCTACAGAAATACATTGCTGAGGGAAGCAGCAGGGTGAGACAGAAGAAGTCCGCCACACCATGTGGGTCACTTCCCTGGACAGGAATTTAACTCATGCTGCAGTGGCTGCAGATTGCTTCATAGTGCTGTGCTTTAACCCATTGCGCTGCCAGGGAGGGCCCTGAAACAAAATTTCTAACAGGGCCTCAGAGGAGTGATAGCACCAGCTCAAGTTAAGCAGGCAGCACTAGCCAAAGCATTCAAGACCACAGAGCTGGAGTCGGGTTTAAAAGCAATAGCCAACCTTAAGCCCAGAGCCCCCGGGGAGGATAACTAGTCTAGACAAGATGGGAAGGAGCTGAAGGACCTCCACTCCAGAGCAAGGAGAGACCCACTGACATGAACCATGAGAGATATAAGAGGGAAGGGAGTGGCAACGACCTTTGGCCATATAGACGATGACACAATATAAGTAGGGAGGAAGTAGAGAGGGAAGGTGGGAATAAAAGTCAGGAGGCAGGTAGGAGGGAAGGAGAAGAACAGGGTAGACAGATGCAGGAAAGAAAAAAAAAAAAACCCAATCTACCCAATATAGAAGAAAACACAGTAAAAGCAGATTCCTGGCAAGTTCTTCCCATTAAAGAAGGCCTTAATAATAGAACAAGAAACTCAAAGACAAGATGATAAAATAACAGAATAAGATGAAAAAGGAGAATAATAAGGGACCAAAATAATACCATTGTAGATGTAATAAATAAACTAGAAACAGCAAAACACAGAATAGATATGGCTGAAAAACAAAGTAATGTTATGCAGCAAAGACTCAAATGATTGAGAGTAAATGTGGTGGGGAAAATAGATGTTAAAGTAATTAGAGTAAGTAGAAAGACAGAGACAATCTACCATAAGAATAATTGTTGATGACTATGGAGATTTGAAAAATGGAACAGAAGGAGATATTATGGTATAAAATACTGAAACACTTTGCCTGGAATGAAGGAATAACTGAATATCCAGATTGAAAGTATACACCATATATCAGACAAATTCATACAGAATAATGGACACTGAGACACTTATTTAATTACCAAACTGGGGCTAAAAATAATAATTTTAGGAACTCGAACAGAAAAAAACAAATCACAGACATGGGATTTGCCTTCTCAAGATAACAGCTAGTGGATGAAGATAATGAAGCAATATCTACAAAGATCTGAGGGTTAAAAAGTAACAGCCAAAAATAAACCAACCAAGTGGTTAATCTAACTATGAAATTGTGAATACATAACTCAAGCTCTTTTTGAAAGGGAATAAAAAATTCAGTCAAGAGATGAGTCAAAATAAGGAGGTGAAGAAGTGAGGTTTGTAGTCAAAGGCCTGGGGGTGAAGATTAATTCCTTTAAGGTTAATCCCACTAATTCAATTAATTCTATTAAGATTCAACTGTGGGGAGTTTAGGTGCGGAACAAATGTAAATATTATGCATCCTACTAAAAACAACAGTGGTAACATTGTCTGGACTGCAGAGAAGGAATGAGAAAGAAGGCAGAAGCAGCAATGACATCAGAGGGTATAAAACTGAAACATAATAGGAAAACTACCCCAATTTATTAATCTAAATCTTTTCTTCACTTGCAAGAGGACTTGTATGTATTACTTTTTTCTTGAGGTGAAGAAATATTTAGCAAAATTTAAGCTAGTCCTTCATTTTCTCCGTAGTTTCTTTTCCCTCTATTAAATTCAATCAAAAGGATACTTTTAGGGCCTCCCTGGTGACCAGGGGTTAAGTATCAGCAGTACACCAGTGTGGCAGACCTCTCCTGTCTCTCCTGCTGCTCCCCTCAGCAGTGTATTTCAGTGAATACATGTGTTGTGTTTCCCACTCTGTCTCTGGTGAATCCTTTCACACACCCCCACCCCTACACCCCAGTTCTTCTATGAAAAAAAGAAAATTAAAAGTATACTTCATACTTTTGGTTAACAAAGTAACTTCTCACTATGTTCCAATTTTATACAATTTTTTTTTGCCTCTTTTTCCTATGTCTCTGTTAATACTTCTCTTTTTATATGGTTATGTGCTTATCAAATGTCAATATTGATCATTTATGGGTGGTAAGATTTTGAGTAATTTTCTGTGTTTTCCTTTGTATTCTTTTATATGGTGTATCAGTAATTTTAAAAAATAACACATATCTTTTTCCAGTCTATTATTATTTTTTTTCAGAGAGGTTTATTTATTTAGTCAGCCAAGAGATGAGTCATCTTCACTGGTGATGATAAGATTTACATTAAAGGATATTTTGAAGATTGTGAGTTTATTTGCCATCCCTATGGTAAACTGGCCTTCATATAGCCATGTCCTAATTCCCAGGACCTGCGAGTGTTAATTTATATGACAGAGGGATTTTGCAGATGTGATTAAGTATCTTGAAATAGGTTAATGTGGATTATTAGATGGTCCCCATGTAATTTACAGCCATCCTAATAGAAAAAGACAGGGGGAGTCAGAGTCAGGGGACTAGGGGATGAGATGATGGAAAAGAAGGAGGGGTCAGCAAGCCAAGGAATTTAGGCAGTCACTGAAAGCTGGAAAGAAGAGGAAATAGACTCAGTCTCCAGAAGGAACCAGCCCTGCCCACACCTTGACTTTTAGACCAGTGAAACTTATTTCACATTTCTGACCTTCAAAATTATGAGAGAATAAATCTGTCTTGCTTGAGGTCACCAAATTTATGGTATTTATTATAGCAGCAGTAGGAAAACTAATGATTATACCTTCCTGTGTGCTGTTGTCTTAACCCAAATTGACCTCTTCATTCATCTCTTTCATCCAGTCAGCTTCTACTTGTTCAACATTTGATTCAAGTTTCTCTGACGTTGCTTACTTTCTACCACTGCCCAGAGGTGGGATGTGCATCTCCCATTGCAGCAATCCATGTTACAGTTGCTCATGGAAAGATATCCCTTATAGACTATGCATTGGTTAGGGTTAGACCAAGGCCTGGCCCTCTCTGCCTGCCTCAGAGACCCAACTCAGTAGTTATTAGATGAACATATGAATAACAAGGGCTAGGTGAGCATTTGTAGTTGGTACCTTGTAAATAACCATTGTCCTCCATCCTTGGTGAAAGAGCTCTCCTTCACTCCCCGGTTTCTACTTAGCTCTCTCCCCAACCAGTCTGTCCAACACATACCCACACGCTTTCAATGTCTAGAAAACTAACCTATGCCTTATCTCTGACTTCCTTCTTCAGGCATTGGTCCAAAACATTCACTGACACTTGTGTGAATCTGTTGGGAGGCTTACCTTTGTGGGAGCACATGTGTGCACTCGCTATGGAGACCTCTTCATATGATTTTCCTGAATTACACCTGTATTGTGTAAGGAGTGTTAAACATGTGTCTCCATAGATGTGTGTTTTATGTAGCTACCTGTGTCTGTGGGTAGGCTTATTTCTGCATATATGTCTTTCCTTGTATGTATATGTGGCTCTGCTTTGTGGGTTGTATGTATGTGGGTTAGTATGTATCTGTATATGCATAGAAGGATACCTTTTGATTTCTATCCTTAAGGGTTTTGACGACCTGAAGCAGGAGTTGGTGTGCCAGGATAATTTACAGAGATGTTTAACTGAGTTTTGTTCTAGTCTCATACAATTTTTCCTTTTCTATCTCAGGTAGGAGGCGGGGCCTTTTTTCCTTCTTGTGTCTTGGAGTGAGGATCCCAGATCAAAGGCTGAGTCACAGACATCTTCCTGACTGCCTCTGGAAGTCTGAGTATCTTGAGGGGAGAATACTGTGGAAAGTGGGGAGGGGCAAAGCAATCCAGAGAGTCCCATAAATGCTCCCTAAAGATGTCCCAGAATGGGAGGAGCGAGGGCTTGGGAAGAGAGGATCCTGGACAGTGAGATCCCAACCTGGGCTTCTTAGCAGAGACCACATGAATCACAGCATGGAATACTTGGGACTTCTGCACAGTTGGGAGTATGGGGTGAGGGAGACTGCCAACACGACCTGCCTAACAGTCCCAATCTTCCTAAATGTAGTCTAGGAAACGGACTACATTTAGTTTAATCATTTTAACTATTTTTAAGTGTACAGTTCTATAGTATTAAGTATATTCACATTGTTGTGCAACTATATGTTTAGTTTAGTTTAATAAAATAGATAAACATTGCCAATTTTGCATTCTCACCACTGGGCTCTTTTGTCATCAGAAAAACACACAGCAGTGCAGGCAGGGGAAACTGTGGAGAGGCAGAGGACACTCCAGGTGGGAAGGGCAGGGGAAGAATGAAGAGAAAGGCAGGAATGGAGGAGTTGTTGTGGGCTGAATGGGAGCTGGAGCTGCGGAGATAGTGGCGGCATCAGGAAGTCTGTAATTCAGAGCCAGGCTGAAGTTCAGGGGTTTCTCCTGAGAGTCAGGGGACCTCAGGATCTGGCTGACTTGCATTTGGGAAAGACAGCTCTAGGGCCAATGGAAGGTGAGAGGAAAGACAATGTGGAACACATGGTGTGGGAGTTCTGGTAAGGTGATTTGAATGACACGGAATGCTCTAGAGCAAGCAGGGAAGAACTAAGGCTGAGACAGTTTTTTAGAGCACACAGTCCCTAAGTCTTGATGAATGTGGGGAGGGGAAGGAAGAGTCAGGAAAGAGTCTTGCACAAGACCTGTTGATGGTAGGACCGGCCATTCATTGACTTAGCACAGGAGGAGGATCGAAATTTGGGAAATTAAGAATAGCTATGGTTTAGCCATTCGATCACTTGCCTATGGGCATGCAGCAAGTAAGCTCAGATATAGAAATGTCAGATGGAAGGCACCTGTGGGCCTCTTGGTAAAAGGCATCTGGTCAGTAGTTAAGATAATAGACTCCTGGGTCAGATGAGCCTGGGCTTCTGTTCACCTTGGACCAGCTGACTGATCTAAGGCTCATTTCCATAATTGGAAAGAAGGATAATAGCACCTATCTCATAGGGCTCTTGTAAGGGCTTAATAAGATGATGTATGTAAAGAAATTAGCACAAAACCTGTCATGTTGTAAACATTTCATAAATCTTAGCGTTTAGCAGCAACAGCAACAACAAATGTTGGTCTGGCACTGGAGAGAGAGGCCTGGATTGGTGTTAAAACATGGTCAGCACAAACTTGGGCAGGATGAAGCCACCGACAGAGGAGGAGCTCATTTAAGGAGACGAGAGAAGAGAGTGGGCGTGTGTAAACAGTACAGTCCACCAGAGAAGCTGAGGAGGACAAGGGAGACAGTTGCTGGAGTTACGGGCAAGTTAGCATGTTGGAATTTTGATCCTGATTATCACCTGTGGAAACTTAGAAAGACCTCTTGATTGCCTTGAACCCCAGTTCCTTCATCTGTCCCGTGGGTCTGTTATGCTTGCAGGTTAGGAATATCTATGATGAATGTAAAGCTATGGAGGAGGAGGATGGCAGCTGGAGCTGCTAGAAGGAGGAATAAAGGTTCCCAGCAAGAAGTAGCTTTGTGAAAGACAAGGGAAGATAGTTTCAAAAAAGAATCAACAGTTTCAATGCTGTCAAGCAGTCAACAAAAATAAGACTAAAAAGTAATTCCTGGATGAGACAAGGAGGTGAAAGTGATTTTGGTGAGCCAGCTTCAGGGATGGTGAGAATAGAAGAAGGTGGGGGCAGCAGCTAAGGGGTGTGGGGAGATGGGGAAACTGAACTGAGAAAGGAGGTGACAGTCTTGCAGGGACATTGAGGAACCAGAAGTGGGGAGGGGGCCAGTGACAGGCAGGGTTTTGAGATGGGAAATGAGAGCACACGGCAAGTTTGCCTGTCCCGGAGTTTTAACAGCTTTGTGTCTACCCTGCCCCACCCGCTGAGGGCAGTCTCCAGCCTTTGTTCTCAACACAAGGCCTCTCTGTCTAGGTCCAGAGCACAGTACAATATCGGGGCCCCACCTGGATCACCCAGTGCTGAGACCAGGCACTTCCTCTCTCTCTGCCCTACTTTCTAGTGTGGCCTGTAAAAAGTTGAAATGGTTCACACCTTCTACCAGGCCTTAGCTTCTGGCCTTGTCCCAGGCCGCGTGTATATGCACAGTAGTAATAAAAATAGCTATCGATTGTATCTTTCTCCTAGTTCCTTCCCACCAGTATCTAAACATTCCCATGTAAGAAGCATATGAGCAATTTTTAGAAATTAAAAAAAAAACTTGCTCTGAGTCTTCACATTTTTTTCATATTCTCCTTTCTCCTAATTTTTGTATTTAATTCCATTAAATGGATGAATTATATTGCTTCTACTTCTTACTCTTGAAACCACTGAAATCTGGCACCCACCATATATCCACTGCCCACTGGAACTACTTCTTGCCAAGATTATTAACAAACTTCATGTTCAAAGGTCTCCTTTCTATAAACTATTTGACCTCTTTTTGACACTCTGAGTTGGTGACCCCTCCCTCTTAATGGACTCTGTGTTTCCTTAGCTTCCCTGAAATTATGTTCCCTTCTGGTTTTCCTTTTACCTCTATAACAGCTCCTTCCTTATTTACTTTGCAGGGTAATTTTACCCCCTTCATCCATGTGTGTTAGTATGTTCACGCCTTTATGTTTTGTTTGGATGGCCCCTCTTTCTGACAGGAACTGCTGTCTACTCATATGTTTATCACAGGAGCCAGCCCCCAGCCCCATAGATCCCTGGTGCAGGAAACGGCATCTGACCCAAGTTAGGTTGATGAGAGCAAGTCCCTTAGCATTTTAGAACTGGAACTGAGAAGGACATACAGAACTGAAACTGAAAAATACCAGCCAGTTTTTTTTTTTTAGGTGCTTGGATTTAAGCTGTAAAGTTGAGAATTGTCAGAAGTTGGATTTATTGTGCTCACTTCGGCAACACATATACTAAAATTAGAATGGTATAGAGAAGATTAGCGTGGCCCCTGCACAAGGATAACGCTTTCCTTTTTTCTCTCCAGAAAGGCGGCAGGGTAAGGACAAGCTGGGCTTCCCAATTCCTCCCTGGCTCCCCCAGCTCCCCCTTGTTAGGACATTTCCGTTTCCCAGTCAGGGCATGGGCTTTAGAGAACAGCTCATAATGCAGTGTCTGCAATCCAGCAAGGCACATAATGATTTATCTCCTAGCCTAACAGGCTGAGGTCAAAACTGAAACACCCTTTCTTATCCAAGCTAAATATTTACAGGCCACCCATTTGGAATACTCCTACCCTGCCAGGTAAAATTGGTGGTACCTCCCATCAGAAAGTGAGGTGACGGGCATGTGGGTGAGGAAAGGGCCAGGTAAAATTGGTGGTACCTCCCATCAGAAAGTGAGGTGACGGGCATGTGGGTGAGGAAAGGGCATCGTTCCAGGGCAGGCTGAAGAAGAAAGGCTTCCAACCCTGTCACTTCAGCCTATGATTTCCCATGAAACCAGAAGCAGAGTCAGAGGGAATGAAAGAGCCTCCAGACACAGTGCCAAAAAGGAAAAGTCATTCCCAGACCTTGCATTTTTTTTTAGCAAGCCTGAAGATTCAGAAAACGTGGTTCTACAAAACTCTAATATTGCTGTGGTAGTCAAACTCTGCTTTTCTCTATGGGAAAACTCTCATTTTAAATTTCAGTTTCCTCTCTCTTCAATACAGAAGCCAGAACTGAAACTCTCAGTGTCCCTCATAGCTTATTTACAGGCTCGTTACTTCCCTCACGTGAGACGTTAAACAAACAATATGAGTGAGGTAAATAGCACTGAAGTTCAACAGTATTTCTGGTTCTCTCCTTTTGACCACCAGGAGGATTGCACTTCCCTTGTCCATGGATGTGAGGTGTGGCCATGAGGTTTGTCCCATCAGTGCATTGTGATTAGAGGCCAGTGAATGTTTTTTCCTCCCCCTTATTCTTTCCTGGCACAGTAAACACTAAAGGTTTGTATCAAAAAGGTGGTATCCTTCTTGGGTGTCCCCCTCCACCCATGTGGAACTGTAGCATGAGCAAGAAATACATTTTTGTCCTACCTTTTAAGCTAGTAAGATCAGGGAGTTGTTTCTAACTTGAGTTACCTAGTTAATCCTGACTTGAGAAGGAAGTAGGTTGGGCATGGGGCTTTGATTTCTGCTCCTAGTGTCAGAACAAATGTTCAGTTTGGCGAAGGGCGGGGGTGTCAGTGGGGTAACAGCAGCGGTTTCCGCAGTGGTTGCAATATTGAGTTCCCACCACAGGAGAACCATAGAGCTTGTAAAATGGGCAAATTGAACTCTTGGTGCTTAGTATCTGGAGTGGCAATGGCTGTGGTTTCCTCATCAGGTTGTGTGGTAAGGTTGGGTGTTGTTCCTAGAAACTCAAGTCCATTTCCCCAGCTCTCCTAATAATTCTGACCTAAGTGTCATTTAATAAATCCCTTTGGCCTCACCTGTCCAGAGTGGATACCATTATTTGTGAGAAAAAAACTCTGACTGATAAAATTTCACATTCCACCAACTCTAAGAGGGAAGTTATTTTATTAATTATTAAGGAAAAAGGGGGCTAAAAACGATTATGCGCTGTTAATTGTACAACCTTTTCTGAGTTCAGAATTATTTAAACTAGAGGAAAAAAATGTGCCCTAGATCAATGAAATATGTTACTGGTAAAAAGAATTCTCTCCCAGATAAAATTGATAGACAGCTGATTATGGTTTAAAAGGACTATATTATCTGGGAGGAAAAATAAAATCAAACCCAATACTCATAAATGCTGAGATCTCTGATTGCTCAATCCCAGGATAATCCCTAAGCCACCACCAAAAAGTGTTAATCGGTGCAGGCCCCTCCGAGAAAGTCTCCAGGTTGGTGCTCTTGGCACAGTGGGTAAGGGATCTTGTTCTTGCAAACATAACCTGGAGCAGCCAGACTGGCTGACTGTAGAACTCTGTAGCCAATTTAAGTGAGCCAACAAACAGATGCCTGTGAGCTTTCTGGTCCCATCATTTTCAGTTATTCACGGACAAAAAATCAGTTCTTTCTTTTTACTCCATTGTATTCTCTATTTCTTACATCTCTAAATACCAGGTTTTTGGAGGGGAGAGAGAGAGAGAAGAGGGATGGTTTAAAGGTGGTTCAAACAAAGGTAATGGAATTCTTCGAAGCCGTATTTGCACCTTACAGAGACCTGACTCTAGAACATGAGAGGATATTACCCAGAGCCCCTGTACTTCAAGAATTGCAGTGCTGTGATGTGACCTCCGGATGCAGTAGTCGTCACTGAGTGTCTTCCACTGGAGAGGAGGTAAATTTATAAGTATAGTAGGATCACATAGGTGAGGACATATTTTTGGAATCATAGGAAAATGATGTATGTGTTAGAAAAACAAAAGAGTGGTTCTGGTGAATACCAGCCACTCTGCTTTTTTGAATTCTCCTGGGAACCCTCCTCCCCCACATCCAGGGGTTATCCTGTGCACGACTCTAGGCTACTGGTTGATTTTTCCAGAGTTGAGCATTTAACTAAGCTAAACTAATTACTGTGTATCCTGAAGAATGTGCAAACTGCAACCAAGAGAAAGAAGCCAGAATCCCCTTAGATGCTTAGACAAGATTTTAAGGTTTGGGGTGGTCTGAAGTCATATTTTTCACCATGTGTGTAAGAAAAACACTTTAAGTTAGTTTGGAGGAAGGATAAGAAGGGTGTGTGTGTGGGGGGAATGAAAGATTTGGAAAGTCATGAGATGAGAGATGAAGAGAGAACTTAATGACTTTCTACTGGTTCCTGAGCACTTCCTGTCTTTAGGTTTCAGCATCTTCTTTTAAGTGTATCTTTTTGCTTAAACCAGTTTTTACACTTCTTGGGTGAGCACATCCCTTTTCTGCTTTGCTACTTTTTGCAGATAACTCACAAAATGTTATCTTGAGCCTAGCCTTCTCTCCTGAACCCCAGACCTGGTTTTCCAAGTATCTATTGGACATCTCAACTTGTGTGTCCAATTGGTACCTCAAATTCAACACATCCAAAGCTGGACTCGTCATCCCACCCCAGCACCCTGAAACTTACTCCTTCTCATGTATTCTGTATTTCAGTGAATGGCTTTGCAATACCCCTAGTCACCAACCTGGTATTCTCCCAGACAATTCCTTCTTTTTACCCCTCTTATCCCATAAGTCTAGGTCTCTGAGTCTTAACTTCCAAATATCATCAATGCTTTCCTTTCTCCCCCCTCTCCTATCTCCCTACATCATTTCAGTCCCATGTCATTACTGCTGAGTGTGACTATATATGGGCAATAGCACAATGACCAGACCCAGCCTTGCATTCAGGTGTACAGTGACAAGTCAGCTTTCTAGAACCTGAACTTAAAGCCTATATAAGAGACACTTTCCCCTACAGCACTGGCAGTAGCTGTGGACCCACCTTAGGGAGCTCCACCTCAACTGCTGCCAGGGAGCAATAACCTCTACTTGTTCAGTCTTTCTTCCTTGCGCTGGTCACAGACATCTGGACCAAACAATTACTCCTTGCCTTCACTCTCAAATGCCTTCAATACTCCTTTCCACCCAGCAGCCCAAGTCAACTTCTAACTTCTGAATTTGATCTTGTTACTCCTCTGCTCAAAATTCTTCAGTGGCCCCCTACTGTTTTCAGAATAAAATTTGAACTCCCGCAGCTGGGTCGCATATTCATTTGCAGCACACTCAGATGTGCTACCATATAGGTCTCCTCTGTTCCCTAGAACTGATTTGATCTTGTTCACAATGCCCCCACCCTGCTGGGTAACAGGGTCAGAGGAAACTAAAATTAATCCACTCTGGTAAGCTCAGTAGGGCTCCCATATTTTACTTTAGCTGGTCTCTATGTAATTCAATAAGTTTGGGTGACTCAGTCTGTCAGAATATTTTACCCTACACTTCCCCCTTTTCAAGATTGCATTTGGATATATAGGGATGTCATGTGAATTTCATGGCCTTAGAAGCGTTCCTTTAGGGTTGTGTAGGGTAGCATGTGCTGAGGTATGGCTAATCTGATATTAAAAAATTAGTGAATTACAACCCTAAGAGGTAGCTTTTACCATAACCACTTTATATTTGAGAAAGCTGAGGTTAAAAGTGTTTTGGTAGTTTGCCAAGGCCAAGAACCGGGAATTGGGCTCTCCCTGTTGGTGCACAGTGTTAAAAGGCAGCACTATGAAGCTATCTGCAGCCACTGCACCACAATTTCCATCCCTGGCCAGGGAAGTGACCCACATGGCACAGAAGACCTCCTCAGCAGTGTATTTCTGTCAGTCTGACTGCTCTGCTCCCCTCTCTGTTTCTGGTGAGTCCTCTCACCCTTCTGCACCTCTGGCCTGTACCCCAGTTCTTGTATGCATAAATGAATAAATCTTAAAAAAAAAAAAAAAGAATGAACCAGGAATTACCACTCTTCAAGCTCTAGAATCTGAGTCTAGAACCCCAGACGTAAGGCTGGATTTGGGAGCAGTAGGAATCTTCATGATACAGTTTCAGGGACCTGCTTATCCATGGAGAATATATAGAACACAATGAGTGTCCAGTTTACTGACTTAGGTAGAAATCACTACTTGATGGCTGCCCCCTCTCTCCTCACTCATACACACAGAGACTGCGCTCCTAGGAGACCTAGGATGAAAAGTCATGCCAGTCCAGTCCAGCCACAACTGAGCTTTCCCTCAGGTACCCTATTCCACTCTGCCCAGGTTCCTCACAGCACGGCAATCCACAAGCCCACTACCAACACTAGGTGGGAGCTCGGTAAACTGGCAGAGCTGCTCACACCTGCTGGGGCCAAGGGATGTGGAGTCAACTATAGACCCTCTGAAGTGGATATTCAAACCCACAGCCAGGCGGGAGTGGACATGTGGCTCGGGTTAGAGGGGGCTTCCATGATGAGAAGGTTTAGTGTATTCCAAGGCGTGGAGACAGATTTCCTCTGGATGACAGGAACAGGTATCTCAGTTATGGGGGGGATGCTCTCCTCAGGGGCTTTGGCCTTCTTCAGATGTGGAGTGTGCAGCCTTCCAGAGTAGGAAGGTTCAAGAAATCCCAGCGAGCAGGTGGGCCTCACCCCCGCCCCTTCCCTCCGGACGGAGCAAGGCAGAGCACCCCTCCACCCCTCCAGCCCCAGCCCCGCGCCGCACAGGGGAGGGCTAGCCCCTCCCCAGCACGCGACCAATGGCACCGGAATCTGGAGCGGTCAGCCAATTGCATGGCCGCATCGGCTAGGGGCTGGCTCCGCCCCCGACCGGCCGCTGGCCCTCGGCCTCCCGGGAGGCGGGGCTCCTCGCTGTTTTCGCTGCCCACCGAGCCGGGCCGAACCAGATCGAGCTCCACCGAGCCCAGCCGAAGGGAGCCGAGCGCAGCCGAATCCCGCGCTCGAGCCGCCTCCGCTACCCGAGCGCCGCGGGGCCGCGGAGGAGGCGCCGCCCCAGGGGGAGGAGGTGCCGGCTCGCCGCAGACCGCCCGCGGCAGAGGCCGCTCCGGTCGCGCCGCGGCGGGAGCGGCCGGCGGAGGCTGCGCGGCCGAGGGGGAGGGTCGGGGGAGGGGACGTCGCCCCTGCCCGCCTCCTGCTGCCCCCCGCCCGCAGGCTCCCGAATCTCAGTCGGTCTCTGTCGGCGCCCAGCATTCCTCTGCCCCGGACCCTCCCGTGGTCTCTCACCGGGCTCAACTCAGGTAAGGGGGGTCCTCCCCCCACGGGCGCGGGGGTCGAGAACCAGAGACCCAGAGGCGGAGATGAAGAGACGTGGGTCTAACACAGCCCGCAGAGAGACTGACACAAAGACTCACGAGCGACGCACAGAACCACGGAGACAGACCCCCCGGAGAAGGGGTGAGAGACCCGGCCGCGGGGACACAGGGACACCGCACAGCCCGGGAGAATGAGGGACCCATTTACACACACGGAGAAAAAGGCACACAGGGACTGATGCAGAGATAGGCAGAGAGAGAGACCTGGAGGGAAGGGAGACATGGAAGAGACCGAGGCACAGACAACAGATACAAAGAGCTATCTGAAGAGACCGCCAGCTACCCAGAGCAGAGGTGGGGATACCGAGGCAGAGCGCGGTCCAGGCAAGGGAACACAGCAGAGTAAGAGCGAGACACAGACACGCACACCTGACTCTTGAAAAGGCACACACATGCCTGCCAGGGCCTCCACAAAGTTCCCTCTGTGGGAGCTGGCGCCTCCGGCTGGCTGGAGTCCTTGGGGGGGGCGGGCGGGGGCATACCATCTCCATCCTCCAAGCCCTTGGGCTGCCTCAGTCCCACCCACTCACACTGCTGGCAGCTCAGTGGGCAGGGGCAGACCATGGCCACTGGCTCTAACTAGCAGGACATAGCGCCTGCCAACTCCAGCTTTCCCAGGTGCCCAGAACCAGACCTGATGATGAGACATTGGCTCTGTGGGGCATTCGGGCCTGCTGGAAACCAATTCTCTGCCAGGGAGGCCAGAGCTGTGGGAAGAGGTTTTCTTCTCTACTTCTCGCCTAGGCTGTACCCTACCCCTACCTCCTCATCACTTACCCTTTTTGGTATCCCCCACAGGTTCAGGATCGCATGTGGAAATCTCCACTACCCAGGAATCATTGAGTGTGTGGACAGGACAGCCTCCCTAAAGGCCAGCGGAATCAGAGTCTTGCCTCGGCATGGGCCTTGTCGTTGAAGCAGCCTTGCTCTCTGTGCTGGTCTGAGGGTGCTGCCCGTCATGGGGGCAGCCATCTCCCAGGGGGCCCTCATTGCAATTGTTTGCAACGGACTTGTGGGCTTCTTGCTGCTGCTGCTCTGGGTCATTCTCTGCTGGGCCTGCCACTCCCGCTCTGCGGACATTGACTCGCTCTCTGAATCTAGTCCCAACTCCAGCCCTGGCCCCTGTCCTGAGAAAGCGCCCCCACCCCAGAAGCCCAGCCATGAAGGCAGCTACCTGCTGCAGCCCTGAAGGTCCTGGGCCTACCCTAGAGTCTGGGACCTAAGACCATCCCGCTCAGAACCTGGAGTCAGGACCCCAGACTCCATCCAGCCTGGTGTCCAGAACTCAGAGACCAGCCTGTCTGGAGCTGCACCTGGCATCCAGAAGCTAGCCAGCTCTGCTCAGAGGACTCCGATGGCCTTAGGTAGATAGGCCTAGGGTGAGGGTTCATGAGTTGGTGCTAGGGTTAGGGCCAATCTGGACTCTGCTCCATGCCAAGGGCCAGAGGCTGGGTCCATCTTCTCCCTAGACTGAACACCTCTAGGCCCTCTGGGTTGGGGAAGCAAACTGGACTCCATGGCAATAATGGGGGGGCGTCCAGGTTGGGCCCCTCCTTTGGTCCTCCCAATGTTTGCTGGATAATAAATGGAATTATGGCTCTACCCTGAGATTTTCTCTTCTTCCTGAGGTTCCTACAATAGCAAAATGAAAGGTGTGGGGTTCCAAACAGGTTTATTTGTGTAAAGTGGGGGTGGGGGGGTAGGGTAATGGCAGTTGCCGGTCTAATCCTGGGTAAGGGTAGAGAGGGTTCTGGGGTCTGGTCAGAGCTGGAGTCACATTCTGAGTGCTAAGGCTAGGCTTGAGTACCAGGGTCAAGACAGATGTTCATAAAGGGGACAAGCACTGAAATGAAGCCTTAGACTTTGGTTTTCACTTCCCTCACCAGGTTCAGCAGCTTGTCCAATTTTGCAATCTCCACAGCTGGACCTTTCTGCACCTCCTGCCCTTTCTTTTCCTGCAGAGAAAGGAAGGAGTAGTAGGGGGTGGGTTCCAGTTGTACCCTATCTGACCTATCCCATAAGATTCTGGGTCCCGCCACCCCCCATTCCTACATGGTCCTTCCCCAACTTGGGTTAGGTGGCTGTCAAGGTGCCCACCTGAGGTCTGTAAGCATCTGGCTCCAGCATTGAACCTCAGATGGACATAAGGTCTTGATGCTGGGAGGAGTGGGGGACAGTATCTATATACTGACCACAAAGGAATTAGCTTTTCAAGCTGGGAGAGATGTAACCCTGAGGAGAGGTGGGGCCTCTGGCTTCTGGGACCAGACCTCCCACAGGTCCCTGGCTGAGTCCTAAAAAAGTGCTGAGCTGTGTATTTGTGGAGCAGGTTGTGGACAAAGCCACTTAGCCAGTACTTAATATCTCAGGCCAGACTGGGAGTGGGGTGCCGTTTGGGGCCAGGCCTGGCAGACACACCCAGAGTGGGGGAGGGTATAAGAGACCCAGGAAGGCAGATATCCAAAGTCATTCCAGATGACCTTGACTGGGACTGTCCCTCAGAAAAGCAGAGCCTGTTTGTGACCCTTCACTCTGACCTGCAGAGCACTCTAGTGCTTTAGCTGGTAAGCTGAGCCCCGAGTAAAAGAGTTGGGATGCTGGGCTGTGTGCCGCTCATAGGTCCCATGAGCTCCTTGGCAGACCAGTACCAGTACCATCTTCCCCACTGTCCAGGCAAGTGAGATGCGGGCTGGGCTGTGAGACTGGGGCAGCCACCACTTCCTGCCTTTCCTCTGCTCCTGCCCTCTCAGCCACCTGTGCCCACTGCTCACTGGCACCTGCCCCAGCCTTGCCTGCTGAGAGCCCAGCCTGGCTCGGGCCTGGACTGTGAGAAGTGGAGGAGAATGCAGGGCCAGCAGGCCCCTTCCTGGCCCCATCCCAGCAGCTGATAGCAGATTTCCTCCTGCTCCCAAATCTGTCTCCCCATGCCCCTGTGGCCCAGTGCTTTTGCCAACACCCAGCTCACTTCTACAGTCTGGAGGCTGAGAACAAAGTTTGCTGTTTTTCTCTTCTTTCTCAAATTAAGGTCACCTTCTCTTTGGGCCTCACCACATCCCCTGGGAGTTAGGGGACTTGGCTTTTCGTTCTAGCTTTATAATGAAAGCCCAGTCCCTATAGGATTTAGGGTAAGTCCCTTGCCATTCTGAGCCTAGTTTCTGATCTGTACAGTAGTTGAGGAAAGAGAGCCTTTGAGCCTGGGCAAGCTGGGTTTGGATACCAGTCATGCTCCTTGGGTCAGGAAATTGGGCCTCTGTGGCCAAGTCCTCTTAGGAAGGGAGACCACAGCCCACAGGGGAGGGCAGACGCAATACCCAAAGGACTTCTTTGCACCCATAGGTGCAAAGGAACATAGGAACCTTCAGTCTACCTAAGTACCAGCCCTCACCTGTCACCTACTCAGGTCCTCTGATCCTGAGGTAGCTTTGTCCTCAGGTCCTCAGAGATACAGTTCCCCAGAAACAGAGTCCAGCTCTCGCAGCCATGACTGTCAGTTATTCTGGGAGGAGTAGGATCCTTGCCTCCTGGGATCAGAGTAGGCAGGGCAGGCCCCCATCCTGACCTGCCACCTTCAGGGTACGATGGCTGTACCCAGAGGTGACCCATCCCTCCCAAAGCTGTCCAGCTCTGTCAGCTCAAGCCTGGGTCTCCTTACTAAATTAAGAGCAGATTTTATCTGTTCCATAAATTGTGCTGTCTCCTTTTCGAGACCAACTAGCTGGGCTCAGCAAAGAGCTTCCTGACACCCCCCACTCCCCCCCAGCCTGTCCTCCTCAACCCACCACAGCCTCTGGGCCACAGCTGCAGGCGCTTAGCAGTCTTCTGAGTATTTATAGCCAAGTCCACCCCCTCCCCCAGCTGGCTACAATTACAGGCCAGGCCGAACTCCCAGGCACTCGCCTCCCTGGCCGAGGTTGGGAACAGACCTGGCAACAGAGGGATGGTGTGATGGCCCCTGTCTTGGTGGGGATATGGGGGGCAGATGTCAGTAGTTGCTTCCTCAGACAGCAGCAAATTATGACCAGAAGTTACGTTCATTGGGGCAGCTTAACCTAAACCTGGTTCAACTCTGATCCTGGCCCGGAATTTGGCAGAAAGCAAATTCCACATTCTTGCTTAATACCCAGTTGGGCAGAACTGGGCTCTGGGTTCTTGGGCTTTGGACTTTTAAATTGGACTCAGACTGGATTCTAAGGTCTGGGTTCTATCTAATACCTGAAGCAGGACTCAGAGCTAGACTTTGAAGTCATAGTCCTGGGCTTTGTGGCATGTTACTGGGGTTCTGGGACTCTGGGCAGGGTCTCCCAATCATTCTAAATTCAGAAAGGAAGCAGCTCAAAAGGAGGACTGCCATGCTGCTGAACTAGTTACCCTTGCCAGGGCTCATTTCCTTCTTCCTTGCGTGGCCCTGCAGCTCCCAGCTCAGGGCCATTGGTGCTGAAGCCTTGTTTAAGTCCAGCCGATGAAGTAGTGACCAAGGCCTGGTGACCTGGTCTACACCAAAGGAGCCAGGCTGTCCCTGTGCCTCCCCCAGGCCTCACGCCCATTTAGTAAATAGCGGTATCTCCACCTGGGGCCCCACAGGTAACTCAGCTTCAACTTGTCAATACCGATCTGTCTCCCTTCAAACTTACCTCTGCTATGCTCTACATTTGGCAATGACACCTCCCTATCTAGCCACAAACCTGGGGGCTTCCCTCTGGCTCTCTCCCTTCCTCTCAGCTCCCACTGTCCTGGAGACCTTGTCTCTTCTGGCAGCCCAAACTCCTCAACCCCGCACCTTCGGCATCTTGCGCAAATTGGGTGAGAGCTTGAGGCAGGTGATGTGTCCACGGTCATCTCCCACAATGATGATGGGGTGGATGGGGTTGAACTGCACATGTGTGATCTTGTTCTTCTTTCTAGCCACCACTGGCTGGCTGCAGATGGCCTCATACTTGTTGATGGATAAGTCAAATACATGGGCCTGTGGAGAGGTGGGTGTCAGCATACTAGGGGGTAAGGAGACCCCTGACCCCTCTCCTTGGGGAGTCAGCCCATAGGCTTTTGGGGGAGACACAGCAGTGGCATAGTGCCCTACAGCTGGGAGAGGGGAGTTGTGTCTCCATTTGCTTTTCCTGAGATTGAGGAAATGAGCATAAAAAGTTGAGAAAGTTTAAGTCTGTGTAGAATTGAGAATAAGAGCAGCTACCATCTATGAAGCAATTATATACTAGACTCTGAGAAAACATGTTCCATGGTTTACCATCTAACTGTAACCCTCACAGCTGCTGCATAAGGTAGGTTGTATTAATTATAATACATTTTATAATGAGATAGAGGCTCTGAAGGCTAATTTGCTAGTAAATGGCAAAGCCAGGATTTGCACCAGTTGATGCATGTAATTCAGACACTGCTTGTCATATAAAGCACTCAACAAATGTTTGATCTTATTTTTACCACACCCTAAGTCCAAGTAGCCAGTAACTCTTGCTGGGCAACTATAGTAGCATCCTAACCTGCCTTTCTACTTCTAGTCTGGTGGTTCCACAGCCCATCCTTCATGTAGCAGCCAGACTTCCTAATCTAAACTCCTCTTGGAAGTATAAATAAAATCCAGATCTCTTACTTTAATTTTCCATTTTCATCTCATGTTCTCTCCCCTTTGCCTACTAATTCCCAATCACACATGCCTGCTGTTCCTTAAGCCTCTCAAGATTATTCTTACCCCAGGGCCTTTGCACTAGCTGTTCCTTCTGTCTGAAACACACTACGCTCTACCCTGTCTTCACATGACTGATTCTTTATTATATAGCTCTTACCTCTCCAAAGAAGCTTCTCTTGATCACTCTGAGAGGTCACCCAGTTCTTGTATTTTACATCACTCCCTCACACTTCCTTAATATAATAGCTGCATTACCAGGTCCTCTCCGGGAGCCACAGTTGACCATGACTGACTGACTGACTGACTGACTGACTTTAAGTGCCTCTTCGTTTCTATCGAGGTCCATAGAGACAAAAATGGGTTTGTACCTAAGGATTTTCTCATAAGATGTTAGTTGTTTTCAACGATTCTCAGTGTTGACTAGAGCTCTCTCATCTGCCCTTCCAGACTAGAGCTCTCTCATCTGCCCTTCCAGACTCAGTTTGCTTAATCCCAAGAATGGTACCTCATTACTTTTAGATACTATTTCAACTAGATCAACTTAAATTTATACATCTTACATTGGACTAGCCTCTGCTCCCTCCTTAGGGGCCTCAGAGACTACTGTTCCTCATGGTCTCAATCCCAGAGTACCCTTCAAGAGGCACAGCCTTCTCTCCTCGAGGCCTCATGGGATGAATGCTTCCACTTTTGACAAGGTCCTAGATGGCCTAGCCCTGGAGACCACACAGTTCTTGTGTCCCACCTTCTATTTGATCTGGGCCTGAGGTGGGCTCTCAGGGAGAAAATAGCTACCTCATTCTAGGTATCCAGGGGGAGGCTCAGAAGACTCAGGAAGGAGGCACTCACTTTCCCATTGGTAGTGACTGCCGCAAACACAGTAGAAGAATAGGGTGCCCAGGCCACATCTCCCACAGCTGAATTCAGGTCATAGATGAACATTGGGGTCCTGCAGTGGTGGAGAGGCAGGAAGCTAATGCCACAGAGCTCTCACAGAGCCCCACAGGCACCTCACAGGCATGCCCCTCACTTGATGGTGTGGTCCCAGATCTTCACTGTCCAGTCGGAGCTGCAGGACATGAAGACCTTGCTGTGGTATGGGTTCCAGGTCACAGCATCCACTGCCATGTTGTGGGCATCATAGGTGTCAAGGAATTGACTGGAGTAGGATTTGGAACACTGGGAAGGAGAGGGAAATCAGGTCAGAAGTGAAAGAGAGTTCAGCAGCTTCCACTTCCTGGGGGGTCCTGGATGACCAAAGCCTGAGCAAGAAGCCTCTCCTCACTCCACATCACTGTCACAGCTGAGGCAAAGCTGTTGGCTGCTCTTCTCACCCTCAAAACGCTCAGAAAGAAAGGAGGGGCTTAATGGTCTGGGATTAGGGTGGGTGGGGGAGCCTTCCAGAAGGCTCAGGGAACATCAGCCTAGTGGCTTGACCCCGAAGGATTTCAGGCTGGGTAAAAAAAGCCTTCTTTCCTTCAGCTAAGGCAGAGCAGGTCTGGGGGCTCTAGGTGAGGTGTGGCCCAGTCAGTATTCTGGGTAAAGCCTGTGGGCAGACAGACAGAGCCCTGGGTCCACCCTGAGCCTACAGTCAGAATCCTTGGAACAGTAATAAACATCCCTCCTTACCCAGGTAAGAGCAGGTACAGAGCCAGGCACAGAAACACCTTCAGATTTCCCGGTGAGCTTCTTAACCTGACCACCAAACCCCCTGTTTTTCCCTCCAGAAGAGGGTGTGACTGATCAGTTTTTCTTCTCCTGACTCTTCAGGCCACCACTGGGGAGGGTGGAGAGGGGGTGGGGACCTTTTTTGCATTCAGACCAGCTACGGCTGGGCCTCTGGGGCTCCCGGGAGGCTGCCTGTAATTAACATTCTGAGTCCTGAGCCTAAGAAAAGCTTACAGCAGAGCTATTTCTGGATGGATGGAGGTTCAGAAGGATGCTCACCTACTAACACTGAGACCTTGCAGAAACTGGCCCTGAAGTTCCAGCCTGCCAGCTGGGATGCAGCCGGTACTCAAGAGATAAATTTTCTTGTTACTTGGCCTCATCTCAAATTTAGCTGTCCTCCAGGAAGTCTTCCCAGAGTGTTCTAAGTCCTCCACCCTGCCCTGCCACCTCTACCTTCTCCACTCTCTTCCTGGGAGTGGAGCCCCTGACGGAAAGATGGTGGGCAGGACTAAAGTTGCCCTCTAGATTCCTTTCCTCCATTCAGCGCCCCCTTCCCACGACCCAAGTAGGTCAAGACATGCACTCTTCCCCCTAGAAGCCTTTCCTAGGTCTGATGAATGCTAAAGGTCGATCGGAGTAGTGTCTGTTGAGAACTCGGAGGCCCCTGGAGATTAGGTCTAAACCGCCCTGTGAGGCGCAGGGGCACAGGGGCCAGCTCACCTTGTAGATTTTCCCCTCTTCTGTGCCCACTAGGAACATGTAGTCGATGTCTTTGTGGAAGGCAAAGGCGGTGCCACAGCCTTGGGAGAAAAAGGCACAGCTTTAGCTGGGTTCTGGGCAAGAAACTCCCAGCACCTTCCTACCCAGCCACAGGTCCAGGGCCCCTGCGCAGGCTGCAGGCTGCAGCCAGTCTGGCAAACAGAAACCAAAACGGCTCCCTGGTCTGCTGCCTGTCCCAGGCAGGTGGGACTCTGCAAATGGTCAGGGTTTCTGCAGACAGGAACTGGGGCCTGGGTAAACAAGGCAGGGATTGAGTTAAACAGGGTCAGGGTCAGGGTAAACAGGGCCAGGGTCTGCAAACAAGGACATGGTCTGTGCAAACAGGGATATAGTCTGCATAAACAGGGTAGGGACTGAGTAAACAGGGACGGGATCTGGGTAAACAGGGGCCTGATCTGCATAAACAAGATGGATCTGCATAACAGCACCTGATCTGCATAAACAGGGCTGGGGCCAGCGAATGGGAAGGGACAGGACCTGCACAGACAGGGAGAAGCCAGGGTTCAGGGCTGGAGGAGGCAGATTTGGTCACAGTCACTGACCCTCAGAAGGCCTGAGTGGCCGTGGCCCGCCCGGGTGTGAGTGGGCTGGGGATCCTACCCACTGTGTGTAGCTGCAACCCTTCGAGACCTTCCAAGGTGCTGCCCTCCACCTTCAGCTTGATGACATCTGTGTGAACCAGCTCACTCTGCAGGTGGAGGGATGGGAGGGTACATGGGCTGAGCTGGGTTAGCAGATGGGGTGGCCGTACTTCCACTCCCCCCACTCCCCACCCATCCCATCACAACCCATTCTGGGAAACAGTCACCTTCACAAGCGTCCAAGACACAATCCTGCCATCAGATGACACAGAGAAGAAGTTTAGGTTGTGGTCCATGTCATCCTTCTGCCACTTGACCTAGAAACACCAAACTGTGAGCTCAGGGCCGCTGCCTGAGCCCCTGCCAGGGTGTTGCGTGAGGGCTGTGAGCCATACAGGGTGCTCTTAAGAACCTGCCTGAAGTTCGGAAGCAAGTTCAAGGAGCCCATTTCCCAGAGCCCCATGGTTGACCTTCCTCTCCTTCCTCCGTCCTCCTGCCCACTTCTCTCTGTCTCCCCCGTCCCCCCTTGACCACCGTCAGGCCTCACAGCCCTAATCCACTCAGTTGGCTGCAGATTCTTCCCTAGTTGAGTTGTAGTAAACTGGTTGAAGGGATAAGGCCCTGGCTGGCTCTGGGTTCAATCTCACACAGACAAGGCCTGGAAAGGGCAGGGCCGATTCACTAGTTTCCTCATTTTAAAACAGGAACCATAATAGCACATGTTTGTTGTAAGGAATAAACAAGATAATGAACTGGGAAGCCTGAGGTCAGAACGCTGCATCTGTTAAGTGTAATGTTAACTAACACCCTCATTATTACCGTCATGCTAGGAGAGGGGCCTCTCCTGTTTGCCCCTCCCCTGTCTCTTCCAGGCTTCACTTCTCTTTTAGTAGTCTTTTCTCCATTCCCGCCTTTACTTTACCACTAGCTCCTGCTCCCAAATCTCACTCCCAAATCTCAAAATTTGAGCTGCATTTCTCCATCTGCAAATCGAGGTTAATAACCCTGCCCCACCCATCTTCTCGGGGCTGGAAGCAAACATATGGGAAAGTGTTTTGGAGACCAAGCTGTTGTCTTATGAAGATGACACGCTTGAGGCTCGGATTTCTGTTGCCAGATGTGAGGCCTGGCCAAGCCATATCCCAGGGAGCTGGGGCGGGGCGGGTGCCCGGGGCTTCCATCCTCTAGCTCCCTCCAGACCTCCTGTTCTGAGACCCTGGTCCCCCGTCACAAACAGAGGTCCAGTGAGAGAGGAAAGGAACCCTGTGCTGCTGCCTGTAACCACAGCTGTCACCATGGCTGTAGAGGGGGGTGGGTAGTGGTGTGTGGGAAGGGGGAGGAGGAGGTGAAGAAGAGTTTGTCCCTCTCCAGCACCCCCAAGCCTAGTGGATCACAGCTGCAGGAGGGCGGGCTGAGGGGAGCCTGGGCTTGTCTGGGCAGCCAGCTCTTTTGCACTTTCACTGGGGGGCCTAGAACACCTCAGAGCCAGTGAGGCCCAAGCCAGACTCCCCCAGATGCTGAGACACTTCCCCTCTGGTCTGCATAAAGGTAGTCCCTTTAAAGCAGGGAGGAGGCTGGGGGTGTCAAAGGCCAGGCTGTAAGAGGCACGAGGGAGCTGCAAAGGGAAGTGTTTAATGAGTAGCCGCCAGCACGCATGGAAATTGTATTTCACACCCCACTTAGCAGCCTGATGCCCAATGGGGGGTGGTGTGAGTATCTGCAAGTGAATGTCTGTGTATAAGTGTGTGTGCAAGTCACACATGCACCCCTGGGGTGGAGGTGTGAGGGCAGGAATAAAGCTGGAGAGAGAGAGAGACAGAGACACAGAGACAGAGCACAGGAGCCTGCTTACCTGACGTTCTTCTGCCTTCTCACACTAGACTGGCTTGGCCCTACTTTCTGATCCTATATCCTTCCTGCTCCCATACCCAAAGTAGCACAGGACAAATATGCACTTTTCCCCCCCACAGAGTGCTGCTGGTTGATGTTTAGCTACTCAGGTGGGCCCCCTGGGGATAAGCCTTCCGGAGCCTTGGGACAGGAATCCAGTCCCCTATGAACACATTTCTCTCCCTGGCTCCAAAATCTTTCAGTTCCTCAGCTTCCCGATGCCAACAGAATATAGGCCATCTGCCTGGTTCTGCCATTTGAGATCCAAACAACCTCTCTGGTCTCCCTGAGACACAGTCCTTTTCAGGAAGATCTAGACAGTGCCGCTAACCTCTCACTCACCAGCCTGGCTGTCCTTCAAGTTCCAAGCCCATGCAAACAACCTCCTGTCGTATACTACCCTCTGGACTCCAAACTTGTTCCTTTTCTGCCACCTTCCATTTCTGTGGATGCCCTACCAGGCATGCCAAGCCCCAGTGCTTCCCTCCCCGCCATCCAGTAGGCTTTTCCTTCTCCTGATTTTATTGCCTCGATCGCTCTCAACCCTAGCTCCTCACTTCCACCTCTGCTGCTCCTCCTCCAGCTCAGGCTTCAAGATTCTCATGCTGCAGCCAGAGATTTCCAGCACACAGACATGACTGCAGGGGAAATCTAGGTGCCTTGTGAAAGTAGCTCTGGGGACAGGGCAGAGAGCACAGGGAGCCCACAAGAGCAGCTCCCCTATCATCTTTACCATTTTGCTTGCATTTCATTTGGAACCACTCACTTTCAAAATCCAAGCTTCTTCCTTGCTAGAGAAACACACACTAACAACTAGGTGCCTGTGCTTCTTCCAGGTCCTGTTCCCACTCCTGGTCTCTCACTGTGCTCCAGATGACACACTGCTTCCCAGCAGGTCACTCAGCTTGATGCCTCTGTGTCACTGCGCCTGTGACCTCTTTGTGCCCTTCTAATTAATACTTTCTCAGCCCTGACAGTTCAGTTCAGGTGTCCCTTGCTCGAGGAAGCTCTCCCTGGTCCTCCAGCTCCTTCCCCCAATCCTGGACTATTGGGACGCCCCTCCTCCGTTTCTACTCAGTGTCCACATAAGCCCTCTTTAGTACTTAACCTCCTATCCTGGCCCAGTCATCCTGTGGCTGTGGTTATCACCCCTCTAGTAACTCTAGAGACTAAGCCCTTAAGCATCCTCAGCTCCCAGAGGAGCAAACAGGATAGACAGATGAGGAGGAAGGAGGGGAGGGGACAGGAAGTGAGTAAAGGAGTTAGAGACAGGCAGGCTCCTCCCATGTCACAAGTCTTGATTCCTGTCAAGAACTTCCAGTCTTTAGTTTTACAAAGGCAGCAGCCCTATTCTGACAGGGGAGCAGAAAGTGACCCCAACCAGGTGTGTTCCAGTCTCCCTGGCACCTGCCCAGTGAGAAGGAAAATGTGACTTCTGCATACCCCGTTGGCATTCCCCAGCTGCCATGTGACTCAGAGCACCTGGTGGAGTGGGAGCAGGCCTTAGCCCGTCATCCTCCTGGGCTTGAAGAGGGTGCTGAAGTTAATCATCAATGCTCTGTGTTTGGCCCTGGTCTATCGGAGAGCAGAGGCAGGCAGGTGCTGGTTCAGTCTGGTCTTGCTCTTCTCCCGGACCTTAGTTCCTGCAGCCATCCTCCCTGTGTCTGGGACCCTCAGGCACCTGGGGGCAGTGAACTGGGAGGTGGAATTTTCAGGAAAGAACTCCTGAGGCTGCAAGCTCTGCAGGGGCTTTGGTGGAACTTTGGAGGTGAAGTAAGAAAGGGTAACTCCCCTGGGAAACGTGTCTGCCAACTCACGGCCAGAAAAGGCAGGAGTACAGAGCCTGCCTGCAGATTTTGTCAGGACAGCAGACAGAGAATGGTGAGAAAGCTGAGTCCCAGCACTGCCTGATAAGTCCAAGGGCCTTGGGCAGCTTTAAGCAGAAATCACCCCTTGGATTCTCCTGGACCTGCTGTGGGGTGAGGGTACATGGCCTTGGAGGGAGGACACAGTGAGAGGGGGCCTGCAAAGTCACAGCTAAGAGACCCTCTAAGGTTGAAACTGTAAAGTCCAGTCTCAGTGTACTACAACTAGAGACAGAGAGTTGGGGTGAAAGATAGCATGATGTCCAGGTAGTGGTTCCATCCTGTGGCAGTCTGGAGGAGTGTTACAGAGAAGACAGGGACAGGGACAGAGGCTACCTGTCATGTCTCACAGCCCCACCTGGAGGGTAGATGACTGGCAGAGCACGCCCCTATCTGGGAGGTCCCCTGAATTTAGCCTAGATGTCAGAGGAGAACCCATGTGGCAGTTGAGGAAGCCCAGAGAAGGGAACTAGAGACCTTGACATACTCAGCAGAGGTCTGCCAAGGCCCTGGAGGTTTCTAATCCCAGGCTCTGTGTCACCGACCACCATACTTACTGCAGACCCTCGTTACCTCCTGATCCTTAGCTTCTGCCCTGCTCTATCCAATCTCTTGGCCTCTAAGTTGGCCGCCATCATCCTGATCTCCTTGCCTGTGGCCCTCTTCTCTCTGCTCCCAATGCTCACTTCCCTCAAGCAGCTTGGAGGCTGACCTGCCACACCGGGTCCGTGTGCTTGCCAGACTTGGCTGAGCTGCGGAAGGAGGGCTGGGATTGGGGTTTCTTGAGGTTGTAAACACCCACGTTGCCATCATAGTAGCCCACCACCACCAGGTAAGGGTAGTCCACGTGCATGTCCAGACACATGATGCCACTCTCACTGCTGAACATGTATTCGGGAAAGCTGGGATTCTTCATGCTGTAGAATAGCAGCATGCCACGGCTCTGCTTCATGAAGTCATCTGCTCCGGGGAAGATGGGCAGAGGTTAGAGGACCCAGCCATCCCAGGACCCCTCGCTGTCCCATAATGGATGGACTAGCCCTTCCTCCTATGGGTCCTCTAAGTGTCTCATCTCCACCTGCAAATCATAAGACTTGGCCTACCCCTTCCCAGGACTCATGTGAAGATCCAATAACTCATAAAGATGACCAGGGTCAGACAGTTATTCTGTCCATTTTACCTGGGATACAGGAAAGGGGGCTGCAGGCTCAAACATTGCTGAGTGAAGAATGTCTTGAGAAGGTACAGTACCCCCACAGAGTACCCTGGCTGCGATGCCAGCCCAGAGGCAGGATGTTGTCCTGAGATGCCTGGATAACACCCCTGTGCCACCTATGGGTGTCCTGGGTGTGTCCCAGCCCAGGACAAGGGTTCACTTTGGACCCATATGGAGCTGTCTGTGTGAGTCACAAACTAGCCACTGTCACCATCTTCCCACACATGCTGCCCCACAGTCCCCGCATCACCAGAGCTCCAGCCAGCTGATCAGGCTCCTATAGGCCCGCTGTGCCACCCTTCTAGCCTGGGCACAACTTTAGGTGATTAACAGCCCATCACTCAGCAAAGGCCCTCCTCTCTGCCCACCCCATGTAGAGGCAGCACCTATGGCTCTTTCATCTGCTGCACACTCAGTGCCCATCCCGAAAATACTGCCACTGAACAGAATACAGTCCCAGGGTGCAGCTCTCCTGCTATCAGCCCGGAAGCTTTCCAAGCTCATAGCTGGAGGGTGAATGTCTGGGAACCTCCTCCCCCACCACATTCAACTCTTCCATCTTGGGGGCCCTATGCTAAAGCAGCCCTTCAGATGAGATGAAGTTCTCCTCCTCTCCCCTTCCAAAACTACTTCCTGGCAACTACAGCCCTGGGCTCTTCTGACAAAGTGGCCAGTCCTGAGGAACAGAGTCCATGGGTGGGAGAGGTGGAAGGTAGCAGCAACTTGACTAGTTCTGCTTAAGTCATTTCCTGTCATTTCTAAGGCTGCCCCTTACTGAAGAGACAAGTGTCCAGGCTAGCTCAAGGCAGTCTGGGCTGGGCTCCTTAGGCATGAGGTCAGCTATGAACAGATGCCTATGAACAGATTCCCACCCCAGACCTTGCAAACACGAGTTGGTGCTTACTGGGAGCCAGGACCAGGCAGCAAGGAGCAGGCTAGCCGTAGATGGGTAGAGTTGGAAGCTGGGGCAAACTGACGTGCCCGATAAAGCAGTTCTCAATGGGGGTGCTTGCCTTTCCTTACCATGGGTAACCCTCACAAACACCAGACTCCTGATCATCTGCAAAAGATGTGTAAAGCGGGGTAGGAGGTGCCAGGGTCTAGCCTGAGTCATGGGGAGGGCACACAATGGTTCAGGAAGGAAATGCTTCCGCTCTGGGGAAAGTGAGACTCTTGGCAAAGAGGAGAAACTGGGAAGCTTCCAGACCCCTGGAGCCACGTTGGGTCACCCTGGGCCTGGCACTTTGTCAAAGCCAATAGAGAGCTGGCCTTGAGGTAGGGTGGGGAGCTGGCAGTATCTCATCCCATGGGGTTGCAGGGTGGGTCCCCAGTGCCTACTCTTGGAAGGCGAGAGCTCCCTCTGGCTGAGGGGAGTGCCTTTTCCTCCCAGATCACAAAGAGCTGGATCTGGGCAGTGTGACAGTCATTTGTCGCTCCTGTTCATCACCCAAACTTAAGTTTGGCCTCTGCTTGGGCTGGACCCCAACAGGGACAGGGTTACCCCATTTAAGATGTGGGCTTGTCCCGATGCAGCCCCTGTAGCTCAGTGAGACAAGCCCCCTTGCTGGGTAACAAAGTGTTAACTCCCAGGCAAGAGGGGAGCTATGGATACATTTGATGTTCAATCTGTCCCTAACTCTGGATAAGACTGACAGAGGGTGAGGGTGGGCACATAGGTGTCCTTCAACCACCCACAAGATTTGGAGAGCCTGATCTGCAGCTCTAAGAAAGCCATGATCCTGAGGCAGGGGTGACTTAATCCCATCACCATCTCACTGACCTCAGCTCCCTCTCCAACGTCCTGGCATTATGGAGCCCAGGGAAGAGAATGGATAGATGTCTTTTGGAACTGGTGGTCACCAGTGGGGGGCCTTAGTCTCTCAGCTTTACCCCTGTCTTGAAAGCAACAGTTCTAGATTGTGAGGAGCCATTCTAGAGAATTCTGGCTGTTAAGAGAAACTCGGGCTCCTGCTCAAGATTCAGGCAGGGCACAGCAGGCAGAAGGCATGATGAGGCATCAAATTAAAACCAGATTAGTGGCCCTCCCTGGTGGCGCAGCGGGTTAAAGCACTGCACTGAGAAGCTAAAGCCACTTCTGCATGAGTTCGATTCTTGCCTGCCCGGAGGTGACCACATGGCGTGTCAGACCTCTTCTGACCCGCCCACTGCTCCCCTCAGCAGTGTACTTCCTCGATCTGTCTGTTCTGCTCCCTACTCTGTCTCTGGTGAAGCCTCTCGCTACCCCTGAACCTCTGGCCTGTACCCCAGTTCTGTATGTATAAATAAATAAATCTTAAAAAAAAAAACAACCAGATTAGTGGTCAGAGGGAAGTAGATACTAAGATGTAGGGGCAAGGATCCTAAACCAGCCTCACGCAGCCTCCCAAACAGTGGAATCACAAATCAGTCCAGCCCAGAGCTTGCTCTAAGTCCACAGCTGTTTAATATCTATTTAAGTGACACAAGGGGCATCTGAATGGGGATTGTGGCAGGCAGGGTAAGGCCTCCCCCAAGATGTCTGTGTCCTGATCCTCAGAATTCATAAATACATTACTCTGTGTGTAAAGGGGATTTTGCAGATGCAATCAAATAAAGACCCTGAGATGGGAACATGATCCGGATTATCTGAGTGTCAGCATAGGGGTTTATACAGGAAGAGGGGGCAGGCGAGTCAGAGAAAGAGATGTGGGAACAGAAGCAGATGTCAAAGGATGCAGTTGCTGGCTGAAAAGGGGCCACAAGCCATGAGATGTGGCCTCCAGAAGCTGGACAAGGCAAGGATGTGGATGTTCCCCTAGAAGTTCCTAAAGAAACGAAGCCTCCTGATACCTGACTTACAGTCCTGACCTTCAGCACTGTGAGAGAATAAGTGAATATTGTTTAAGTCACTACGTTTGTCGATCATTATTATAAAAAATAATAAAACTGTTTTAGTTTTCCACTGCTACTCTAACAAATTATCACAAGCATAGTGACTTAAACAATATTCATCTAAAAAAAATAAAACCCCCAAACCGAAAAACTAATACCATAGACATTTCAGGAAAAGGGAACCCAAACAGTATCGTTGGAAATTTGAGGAAAGGTCATTTTCCTGGGACAGTTGGGTGGCAGTCCCTCCAGAGATCAGGGAGACCCATACAAAGATCTTCAGCTCTTCTGATGATAGTAAAGACAGCTTCTGTTTCCTATACCTCGGTCCTGACACCTTGGAATCCAGGAAGAAAAATTCCCCTTGGGCTAGGATTTGTATAGTCTCCAAAAACAGGAGATCACCCCAAAGCTGCCCCAAGAAAAGGTGGGGGTGCTAGAAGCTTTCAAACCTCCAGCAAGGCCCAGAGACCAGAGTGCAGGGCCGGAAAAGCCACCCAGGCAGCTGGGCTCTTCCCAGCACTCTCAATGAGAAGTCATATTTAAACAGCGTAGGAAATAAGAGCAAGGCCTTGGAGACAGAATACATCAAGAGGGACATTTAATTTGATTTAGGGAAAATGAGGCAAACATTTGAGAACCTAAATAACTAACCAGTAATTAAACTAACAACAGGAATGCCCTCTCACTACAACCCCGTGAGCACAGTGGCCTTTATGGACTATATTTACAAAAAGACCTGACAACATAATTAGTCCTGTAAATTTTACGCAGCCTGCAGCTGAAGAGTGATGGATTCTGTGTGTGGAGGATGAACAGGGAGAAATGAGGTGGATGAATTTCCATTTTCAGTAAATTATATTAACACTGCTTAATTAGGGAAGCTGACAAATAAATGATCAGGAAAGATTTAAATCCCTACAAGTGTTTCCTTGGCTTGGACAAGCTCAGGGATGGGACAGGATGTGGTGGGACAGAGTGGGAATGGGTTTGGGATTGGGATTCTGGGCCTGACGTTGGCCCCCTGGCAGCCCCCTCCCATTTCCCGTGTCAGGACCATATACCGAGCTTGGGGTGTGTTCCACGGTGCCTGCCCCGCAGACCAGGAGGAGTGCCACTTCCCTGCTGTGAACTGGCTAGTGGCCTGGGAAAGACCCCCTTCAGCGTGGCAGCCTGACATAGCAGCATCCCAGCTTTGCCTTGCGGCCAGCTCTTCCTGACTTGGCTCCCCTTGCCCACCAGCGTTCCTCCATCTGCTTTCACCTGCTGACAGCCTCTTGCTTCACTCTGCTGGCAACATGGATCCCAGTCCTCGGACGTACCCATTGCCTGCCTTGTACGCAGCCTGGCATGTCCCCTGCCCCTAGCCACAGAGGGAAGCAGGTGGGAATGTTTCTGGGCTGGGGGCCAATTGCCTGGACCCCTCTTTCTCCACCTGCTTGCTCCTGACCTGACTCCATCCAACCTGCATTATCTCTAAAATGAGGCATTGGCCTTAGTCCTGCCTAGAGTCTAGCCTGCCAAAATCTTATTGGCAGGTCACAAAATAAACATCTAGAAATTCCAGGCAAAAGGAGACCTGGGGCTCAGCTCTTCAGGGGCAAACCCAACGATAAACCCAAATTCTCATTCTAGTGTTTGGAGCAAAGTTCGACGATGGGGGTTGGCATTGGGTGAGCCAGCTGCTCCTCGCCCACCCTCAGGAAGTTAGGGTACACTTTGCTTGCCTCAGTTTTGCCTTCTTTCTTTCAGGGAGGCCCCTGGATGCTCAAGAGAATGGGATTCCCAGAGGCGACCTGAACAAGGAATGCAGAACCCTTCCCAGCACCCCCTAGCTCTGCTCAGGCTTCTACAGAGCCGTTCTGAGATACGGGTACTTCCCTAAAAGGTCTTTAACAGCTCTGTGCCAGTACAATAGTAAATGCCACTGCCGCCGTGGGGCGCCCTCTCAGAGAGGTAGTAGTGTTTCATCTGACTCCCCTCTATCCCTACAGCTCCCACAGTACAGTTCTCCTTCGCTTGGGTTCCTGAGGGTCCTTCAGGACAGCTCAGGACAGGTAGGGGAACGAGCTACAGACAAATCGGTATCGTTCTGATGTGTGTGTAGCTTCTACAGCTCACAGGGAGCATTTGCTGTTTTTTCTTTCAATTGTAGCCTCACAACATCCCCAAGATGGAAGGTGACCAGGGGTCAGCCTCTCCGAGTCATCAGTAAGCAAACCATTGCCTCCGAGTGGCTTCTGGCCTTACGGTGCAACACTGGGAAGTAACCCTCCAAACAAAAGGTCCCCAGCTGACTGTGGCATTTACAGGCAGGTGGACATGACAGTAAGGACTAACAAAGGACAGAGAGACCCTCCCTGGGTGAGTACCTGCCCAAAGAAGGCTGCAGAACTCATGGGGCTTGGGTTCATCTTCCCTGAAGGGGGTACCTTTTCTCCACTGCACCTGGCTAAGGCTAAGGCTGCCCTCAGGGTCACCTCCACATGACCCCAACCAGCTGACCCTGCTTCTGGCTCTGGGGTGGAGGAGGAGACTGGAGCTAAAGCAGCTTCTCCTCCCACCTGCTGGGGAATCCCCTCCCCCTCTACCCTACCTCAGTCCTGGGCAGAGAGCCTGGACTGAGAGCAGCCTCACAGAGGGGTCCACACCCTCTCCTGGGAGGGCCTGCCCAACCCCCAGGCTCTGTTCCAGGCCCAGTAGCTGCAGCAGAGGGGGAGGAATGTGCTAGTTCCCTGCCAGAGGGGGAGGGCGCTTTCCGCTTGGCAGCAGCCCACCATCAGGAGGGGCAAGACAAAGCAGGCATTTAGGACAACCTCAAAGACACCCGGAGTATGGGAATGGGAGCAGCTGCAAGGTCCCCTCCTGCGAGGAATGTCAAACATGAACTCCTCTTTGCCTCCTTCCCATCTCCCTAACCCCAGTCAAGAATGGTCAGAGGGGCAGTCCGAGGGGCAGAGAACAGGAGCTTGTGTATCTGCCAGCCAACAGCAGCTTGGAGAATGGAAAGGTTTTCTTTTCACAGAAGCTGATCCCTCCAGCCAGAGAACAAGCTGTTAACCTGGGGAGTTGTGGCGAACACGAAGTGTGGGGCCCTCTCCCGTTAGGAAGGGGGAATGTCCAGGCCAGTGTGGAGGTAGGAGCGTCTGCAGAGACCAAAGACACAAAGGAAAGCAAATTCCCACAATCACCACGGTGCTGCCTCCTGCTGCCATTGTGCATGTGCACGAGAGTGTGTGGTGGGGGATGGCCATAGGGGTGGAAATATCCAGGGCTCGGAGGCTAAGTGATGAGCATCAGGCACTTGCTCCTACCCCTTCCTGCTCTAGGACCAGATCAGCAACACAGCAGCTAATCCCTCTCCAGGTCTGGTCCAGTCTACCTTCCTTGTTCTCAAACCCACTACTCCATCCTCCTTAGTCTTGATTCAGATCCAGCTATCGATACTTGGGAGGCTTTGCCAGTTTCCTAACTGGCTCCTAGTCTCCAGTCTCCTATCTGCAATTGTCCCCTGCACTAGCTGTGTCCCTGAGCTCCTCAGATTCCTTTAGTAGTTAGAAGAGTGCCCTAAGAAGAAGGTTCAAGCTTCTCGGAATGACTCAGCAAGCCCTTTGAGGCCTGCTCCTGCCTCCCTTGATGGCTTCATTGCTTGCTGTCCCTCATGGCTCCAGACCTGGCATAGGATAGTGCCCTGCCTGGCATATAATGTTCCCCTTTACTGTAGTGACTCCTTCAAGGCTCATTTTGGAGTAGTCCTTCAACCAGCACTAATTGCCAGTCGGACTGTCTTTCCCATTAGACTGTGAACCCCCAAGAACAATGACTGCAGCTCAGTCTTCTGAATCTTTCACACCTGGCCCTTACTGTTTGCTGGCTGAGTGAGCACATGCATGAAGAACCAGGTTACTTACAGGAGCCATGTCCCACTGCAAACAGATCATTGTACTTTGGATTCCTGCAAAAGAAATATGAACCCATTGGCTCAGGAAATGGACATGACTCTCCCATGGATACTAGTTCTTAACTGCACCGCAGACGTCTGCTGTACAGCTCAGAGCCCTGGGTTAATTCTACAATCCCATGGGAATCGCAAACCCCTGTCTGCCAACACACAACACGTCACCCTCAAGGTAGTTAAGAGCAGTGGAAGCATCCTGCACGCAGAGTGCACGCAGCGGGCCCGCAGGAGCTCGGGTTTGCTGCAATATCTATACTCACCAGCAGAGGGCGGTGACAGCCAGGCGCTTGGCTTTGTCATTTTGAAACTTCCAGAGCGGCAGCAGGGTACCCTCCTGGTCCCGGTATTCATCAGCAGCATCCTCATAGTATTTAAAATCTTAAACACATAGAGGTTAAGTCAGCCTTGGGACCTCCATTTTGTGGCAAACGCAGGCCCATCTCTGCATCTCCTTGGGTCAAGCGATCCTTGTATTTCAGAGTGCGAGTAGTAACAGCTACTGTTGTGAGGATTCCTTGGATTAACATGTGTCAAGTGCTTAGAGAAATACCTGGCACACAGTAAGTCCTCTCTCTCTCACTCTCTGCATCATTGTTGCTGTCACTGTTGTTGGAGGCAAATTACAGTAAGGCAGCGTGTCTGCATGGACAAAGCCTCAGATCTTTCCATCTTCATACACACTGCCAAGCCCACTACTGCAAAGCTGTGGGGATCCAGTATGCATTCCCTGAACTCAAGTTCACCTCCTGTCCTTAGCCATATCTGTCTCCAGTTTTCTCTAACTTAGGAAGAAGCCCCTTTCTTCCACTGGAAACCTAGGTAATCTTTGACAGATCTTTCTCTATCATAGCTCATGTTTTCCTTCAATTATTTTTTTTAACCCATTATCCCAATTTCTAGCCACTTCGCAGGCTCAGGCTTCAATCCCCACTACCTGGACCATTATGATATCCCCCCCTAACTTGTCTCCTTCCCTTCAGAAACTCCTCCAGTCTGTGTTCCACAATGCTACCGCGTGAGAACATTTTAATCACCTCCACACACCACTTTCCCAACCCACTGCCAACCACTTAATGGCCCCCTTTGCACAGGGCTCCCAGGCCAAAGGCAGGTTCTGGGTCATGACTTCTGTGTCATTCCCAGCCAGCTGTTAACATGCCTTCTACATTAAATCTTGTCAATAAGAAATTAAATGCAAGCTTCACATTCTGCAAAGAAGCTTGCTTTCCTACATGTTCATCGGCTCTAAAATGTCCTGTCCCTCCATCTTCCTGGAGAACTCCTATTGACTCCAGATCAGATCAAACTCCTCCTCTATGAGACTTTCCCTTTCTTTGGTGAGCAGAGTTCATTTCTTCCTCTGTTCCAGTCCTGCTTACCCTCTACTGCAATATCTGTCACACAGAGTTCCATCTCTTTATCCTTTTTGCCTGTCTCCCACCAGACAGCCCCCAGAGAGCAGGAGGCAAGTTACGTCTGTCTCTGGACCTGTGGTGTCTGGTAGGGGGCCAGCCACAGAGCAGACACTGGCTTCAAAGGACACAGTGAAACAAATCAACAGGAATGTAATGGTGTTCAACCAAGGGTGACCCATTAGGAAACCAACCCTCCCTTCACCCTCCCTCACGGACATGCCAGAGCTCGCCCAGCCTCTCCTGCAATACCCCACACCTTGAGCTTGAGGGACTTCATTCGAACCTCAAAAACCTCAAAAACGTTTCAGAATAAAAAGCAGTTGGGGAGGCGTGAGCCCTGATCACATCAGAGATCCCTGGGCTCAGACTATCTTTGAAAATACTTCATTTCTGAGAGGAGATTAATTGGTAACACTTCTCTGTTTTCACTGCTCCTTCATGATTACACTTTCCCAAAGGGAAAAAAGAGTAGGCAATTAAAAAAAATCAAAGTTCAATGCATTTCTATGTGACTGTGTTCTTATAAATGAAAAAGGTTCACCGAGGCCAATTTCTCCATGGTTATTAATCACGTTTGCAGCCTTTTGGTGGGCTGGTTGCAGAGGCTGGGTTTCAGGAAGCCAAGCTGCGTGAGTGACAAATTCATTCATGGCTGCTGTGTACTCTGACAGCTTTGAGAAGCGCTCAAGGTCGTTTTCCAGGCTGAATGATAACAAGGGGGCTTGTTTAGGCTGCTGGTCTTGGCAGCCCTGCTTTCTATGTCCCACGGGTGAGCAATGAGCATCAAGCCACCAAGAAGAGCCCTAGGCTGTCAGCAAAGGAGACCGGCCAGCAGCGAGGAGCTGCCAACTCTGGGGAGGCAGCTGCTCCAAATAAATGCACAACCTCTTAGGGAAATACAAGCCACTTGGGAATGTGCTGTTCCTGCCATGGGAAGGATTCCGTTTCCCTGGCTCTGTCAAAGACACCAGAATTTCCCAGGCCCCCAGGATTTAAGCGTTTTTGAATCAGGCTCTTTCTTCACCTCATCACTAATTAATCACCACCATAGACCTATTGAACGTTTATTTGAAATGTCTCTTCCAGTTCAGCGGCGCTGTAGCCTTGCGCTGAAGTGCTTAGGTTGTGGATCCAAGGGCCCCACATGCGAATCCTGATTCCAGCACGCACATCACCAGAGCTGTGATTTTCAACAAGTGGCAACCTTCCAGCCTGCATTTCTCATCTATAAGAGGGAGATGAGAACGGTGTTCACCTGACAACGTGGCTGTCAGCATACAATAATGCATGTAAATTGTATAGCACCTTGCCTGGGATGTAAGCCATTCCCAGAGAATGCTGGCACTTATTGTTCACTATTATAGCTGTTTCTTTTCTTCATCCCCTGGGGGTGTAGTCTGGGTAAGGTGTGGCAGGGCCCACTCCAGCCCATACCTGAAACTCACCTTTGCCTCTATCCTGTATTCTGCCCAGTCACATCCTTCTCCAGACCTGCTCTCAGGGCTGTGTCCCTGCTTGGGAAGTATCTCTAAATGGTCTGCAGAGAAAGCTCAGATTCTCTATGTGATAGTCAAGGCCTTTTATTAAGTGGCTCCAAGCACCTCTCCAGACTGAATTTTTATCACTTTCCCACAAAGCTCCTGTTTGGGTCCCTGAACCTGAATCCATTCTCCCCAGAATCCATTTTAATTCATTTTCACTTGGGCTGCTCCCTGCCCAGAACATCACCCTCCTGCAAACCTCCCGCTCCCATTCTGCTTATCATTTGATATTTAGCTTGGTTCTTCCTAAAGCCTACCTTGACGGCTGCCATTATCCCTTCCCATTTATGAGGATCCCCAGAGCAGTTTCTGACTACCTAGTGTATTCTAGTGCTTATCTTGTCCCTTGGACTTAACACAGCTCCAGGAAGCTCAAGACCTTGATTTGGATCCTTTCTGCCATTCACTAGCCAGGTGGCCTTGGCCTTGGCTTCTTCATGTGTAAAGTAGGGGTAATCTGCTAGGAATCTTCCCTGGTGGCAGCGCTACAAAGCTAGTGGTTTCAGCATGAGTGCAATCCCAGCCAGGGAGGTGACCCACATGGCACGGCAGACCTCTCCTGACCCGCCCGCTGCTCCCCTCAGCAGTGTACTTCGTGAATCTGTCTGTTCTGCTCCCGACTCTGTCTCTGGTGAATCTTCTCACCACCCCTGTACCTTAGGCCTGTACCCCAGTTCCGTATGTATAAATAAATAAATCTTTTTTTTTAAAAGATTTATTTATTTGTGCATACAGAACTGGGGTATAGGCCAGAGGCTCAGGGGCGGCGAGAGGTTTCACCAGAGACAGAGAGGGGAGCAGAACAGGCAGATTGACGAAGTACACTGCTGAGGGGAGCAGCGGGCGGGTCAGGAGAGGTCTGCTGCGCCATGTGGGTCACCTCCGGGGCCAGGGATCAAACTCATACTGAAGGGGCTTTAGCTTCTTAGTGCTGTGCTTTAACCCGCTGCGCCACCAGGGAGGGCCCAAATAACTCTTAAAAAAATAATCTCTGCCCTGCCTGCCTCCCAGGATTGTTGAGAAGATGACATTAGGTCGCTAATGTGTGTATCTTGCTGCACCATTGTCAGATTTCATCACTACACCCATTGTTTTTTATGTCATCATTCATAGTTGACCTGCATAAATCTTGTCTCCCTGGTGACATCCAGAAAAGGCAGGGATTATTTTTTCTCCCCTTGCACCTGTAGGACCTGTTTGTAATACTCCCCTTGTATGAAAGGTTTTTAATACAAGCAGTGGTAGAGGTTGGCAGCCCTTCAAATCTTACCTTGAGCAACGTCATCATATGTGTTCTGGTTGACCATCCGCTCCACAATTTTAGCAGCTTGGGCCACTTTGGTGATGTCATCACTCTGTGGGGACACAGAGGCCACGGGTACTCATAGGCCAGCGCCTGGAAGGTCATGCCCTGGGACACATACCAGACTTGCAAATGATTCAGTTGTGCCTGTCTGACCACACACACCCCAGCATCTCTGCATGCCTCATGGCCCAGCTCACCCCATCATTGCCTGCTGGGAAACCCCAGATCACAAGTGGCTTAGGAGTCTGAACTACCATACTTGGCCCCTGGACAGAGCCATGCACTTCCTTCTGACTTTATTCTGGAGAAGGGATTTCTCTGAGCACAGACACAGCAAGAAAGAGAACGCAGGAAGGCTACTACCAGGGAGAACAGAAAAGGGTAAGTAGGAGATTTTATCAGCTCAGGCTATGACCAAGACTCCTATGGAAGGTATATCTGGTTCGGCTTATTTAGTCAAAAGTCAAGGAAGACACAGAGGAACAGTGAGGGGAGAGAACCATGCTGTGCACAGGCAGTTCAAGGCAGAACTGATTCCTAATCCAGGTCCTTGCTCACTGCTCAGACCAAAGAGAAAGTGAACTTTCATGTCAGGGAAAAGTGACCCATTTTGAATCAAAATATAAGATCATCATTATTGGAATTCCATAAACCTATAAGGTGAATCACTTAGTAGGTTAATAGAGGAGTAAAGCATTTGGGGCTGGCAAGACTGAACCTATGGAGACTAGGTAACCCCCCAGACAAGTCCAGGGAGCCAGACCAAGGTGCCTGAGGATGAGAGTTCCTAGAGTGGCAGCAGCAGGAAGTGGTTAAAAGAATGGGTTCTGGAGCCCTCTCTGGTGGCGCAATGGGTTAAAGCACAGCACTATGAAGCTATCACAGCCACTGTAGCATGAGTTCGATCCCCAGCCAGAGAGGTGACCCACATATTATGGCAGACCTCTCCTACCTCACCTGCTGCTCCCCTCAGTATATTTCAGTACATCTGCCTGTTCTGCTCCCCAGTGTCTCTGGTGAATCCTTTCACTCCCTGAACCTCTGGCCTGAACCCCAGTTCTGTATGCACAAATAGATAAACTTTGTGTGGCCCTCTCTGGTGGCACAACGGGTTAGGACACAACACTGCAAGCTGGCTGCAGCCGCTTCAGTGTGAGTTTGATCCCTGCCCCAGAGGTGCCTGTCCTGCTTCCCACACTGTCTCTGGTGAATCCTCTCACCTCCTCTGCACCTCTGGCTTGTACCCCAGTCTTATCTGCATAAATAATAAATAAATCTTTAATAAATAAAAAAATAAACCTTAAAAAAAGAGAGAGAAAATGGGTTCTGGAACTATGCAGAACCACATTCCCATTCCAACCCATGGGTCAAGAGTGGAAATCTTGACTTGACAAATACTTAACTTCTCTGAGTCTTAAGAGTGCTTGTGACAGAGTAGGCAAGAATAATGGCACCTGTGCCACAAGGTGGTTGTGAAGATTCAGTATAATAATGCACATGATAATATTTAACCCAATGCCCAGAAGTGATGTGGTGGTAGTGTCAGAGGGAATAAACACACCCATGTGGTGAGGACTTATAAAGTCACATCTGGGGAACTTCCCTTTGAGGTCTTTTTTTAGATCTCAAAGTGACTCAAATTTATCTTAGCAAACTGATGGAGAACATTCATTGAAGTCTCACAATCAAGTCCTCAGGATACACCTGGTGGTCAGGCTGCGGCGGGACTGGCACTCTGTAAGAGGCTGAGCTACTCCCCCCTATTCCTGATCCAGAGCAGGAATTCTTTTTTCCTCTTTCTGGCAACTTCCTGGCAAATGACTCTCCCACTGTCAGGAAGCATGGTCCTAAGTCTCATCCAGCCATAGAATTGTGTGCCTGGTGATCCCCTCCTCTGACATGGGAGGGTACTGCCTCAGCCCCCAAGTCAGCACTTCCTCAAGTGATGCCTTCCAGTGGCACATGCCATCAGCTGTGACATATTTACAACAACAGCCACCCCCAGTCAATTAGTAACAAGCAAGGACTGTGTTAGGGACTGTAAATACATCAGTTTGGGTCCTATGAAAATCTTGCAAAGTAGGTACCTTTTGGATGTTTTTACAGATGAGGAGACAGCTTTCAAAGAACCTTAGTTAATAAGTGGCAAAGCCACGGTGCCTGTTTTGAGCCCCACACCACGAGCCAGTCCCTTTCCAGCCAGACCCTTCCTCTCTTGGTCCTGGGAGACTGGGCTCCAACAGTGCTCTACAGAGAGAGTATTGTATCTTCTCCCTTGTTCTAGATACTATGCTACTTGAGCAACCACCGTTTTTTATCAGTTCCCACTAAGCCTGGGCCTCTGACTCTTTCTCCCTATTCTTGCCCCAATCTTCCAGATCAGAGAAGCTTGTATTCATTTCTGTATATTAACCCAATTCACTGAGCTAGAAACCCAAGATCAATTACTGAAGAATGTCCTACAGTATAGTATGATGTTATTCTATTTTCTCTACTACACACTTGAGTTTCATATCAATCAAAGTTGACATCTGAGAAAGAGGCATCACTGTTTGTGCACTGGGCCTGAGGAAAGAGGAAGGTGACTGACACTTTCACCTTATTCTACAAACAGACTTGCCTAGAAATTGGGGTTCCAAGTTAGAGCTCAATTACCTTAAAGAAAAGCTTGTATACTAAGGTATTCATTGGAAAAGGGTAGCTGCACCCCTCAGTGTCCTGCCTCCATTGTGGCTTCTTGGTTCAGAGAGCTGAAATCTGCCTGCATCATGTCTTTCATGTCAGCCAAGCTGGAAGGACCAGTGTCATAGAGTGGAATGATCTTGCCTTTTGGAGGGTGTTAAGACACCAATTTGGGGGCCCTTATCCCCAAGGATAGTTTTCAATTTTAGCCACAGGAACTTTCTTCCCTGGGTCCTGGTATAAGTCATACTCTTGATATACATCAAGCAGACCCTGACCAAGGTCAATAACCTCTCTGAAGCGCCAAAGCTCTAAAGAATAGTTCAGGGGAAATCAAGGGTCTGGACAGGGCAGAAACTCCATATTTCATCTTAGGGTTCCAGTATCCAATATGATCATGATAAATGAGTGCTCCATCTATGAAAAAAATTGAATTGGGGCAGTTCATGAGTTGGGGAAGTTCCTATTAAGCCAAGACAGTGAACCCTCAAATCTAAAGTATGACATTATCAAGGTCATGGAACAAAGAATTGAGAATTAAGTGGACATACTTCAGAGAAATGAATCAAAATTTTAACTGATTGACTTCCATTCTAGTTCCATTCAGAACTAGTTCCCCAGAGCTGCCTGTGAGCTCTCCAAGGTGCTGAACACAACCCCCAGTTACTGATGGACTTGGTCCCTTCCACCCTGCTGCTGGTCAAACCCATCCAGATGTCCACACTGAGACTTTGGCCTAGCTTTCTCTCTGTTGAAGGGACAAATCAGCACAGTCTTTCTCTGTGCTGATCCTCCCTGTAGTGAGCTAATTCCTATGATGATCCCCAAACTATGCTGGCTACGCCCAAAGTGAGTCCCCCAATCATGCCCTCTATTATGACTCTTAGATGGTTCCTCATGGTAAATCCAGCCTCAGGAGGTCATACCCTGTGGTTGGCTTGAACTTGCTGACATCTGTAACCAATTCTGACCTGGCTCCTGGCCCTGACGACTCACCTAAAGAATGAAGCACAGGTAAATCTAAGGACTTGAAGGTCAAGAGCAAATTGGCTTCCCAAATCCCATGAGCACTTTGCTCCTGGAGATAGTGCTTTATCCTCACATCTCCCACCTTAGGAAGGCTCCCTACCTCTTTCAGGTACACAGTGAACTCCCCATAACTTTCTTGTCTTCTATTATTCCTTAGCCTAACAATACTGAATTCCTGAAAGCCTCTCAACCTATATAAAATGAGGGAGAGAGGGAAAGTGTGGAATGCCAGAGGCAGTTGTAGCTCTCCTCATCTTCCCACAGAAACCCTCCAGATACCCTAGGCTTGTCTTCCCAGGGGCCAAGTTCCTGCTCATTTATTCCCTGTGACAAGGTCATGATAACCCTCACCAAACCTGGGACTCCATAGACATCATCTTCCTCATGGTTATCTTCCCCATTTTTTTGGCCACTGGGGTCCTTGTTTTCTCCTTCTCTTTGGTCTTTTCCTGCTTCTCGAGTTCTTCTATATAGGCATCGTAGATCTCCCACTAGGCAAAGATGAGATGAGAGGAGTCAACACAGGGAAAATTCTTCACCCAATCATCTCTTCTTCAGCTTTAGGGTCCTGAGGAGTCTATCACGTGATCCCCTGCCATGGCATCCTCTACTTTACCCAGTGTAACCCAATATCTGTCTTTCTTTCTAACTGCCAGTCATTGGGCAGGAATGAAGGAGCTCTCAGGGCTCTCCTGGGCTGAGTTAATTCACCTTGAAGTTCACGGCCTGGTTTATCGGCTAGAGAACCTTATTGTTCCAGCCTATAACCCCCACCAGGAAGAACTTAAAGGACTTTGAACTAGGAAATCAAAAAATGACATTAAAAAATATATATTTAAAATGTCTTGGCCCTCCCTGGCGGCACAACGGGTTAAGTAGCAGCACTGCAAGCAGGCTGCAACTACTTCAATGCGAGTTTGATCCCCAGCACCGGAGGTGATCCATATGGCCTGGCAGACCTCTCCTGATCCGCCCACTGCTCTTCCCACCAGTGTACTTTGTCAATCTGCCTGTTCTGCTCCTCATTCTGTATCTGGTGAATCCTCTCACTGCCCCTGTAACTCTGGCTTGCACCCCAGTTCTGTATACATAAGTAAATAAATCTACATCACTGACTACCCCTTCTTAGCATAAAAAGATAAACAAAACATAAGGGTACACTTGCAAATTGAATCTGACTGCAAGAGAAACCAAAGAATAATAGAAAGAGCAGCAAGGATGTGGGGCTGCCAAATGTCCTAGATCACACTGTGTGCTCCCCAGAGCTGGGTAGTCACTGCCACCTGGAGGCCAGATGGGCACACCTTACATTTAACAATTCACCCAGAGGTCAGTACTCCATACTTCAAAAACACCTCAGCATTTATTCCCACACTCATAGTCCTCCTGAAAGGAAGCTTGTTGTCTTCACTTTACAGAGAAAGTGAAGTATTAAGGGGGATGGCATCTTAATAGGATAAGGATCTTAATAGTATGAGCATCAGAGTTGGGGCTTGGGCTCAGGTCTTCTGGCACCACATCCTGTCTGAATTAGCATGACTATTCAGTAGGAATGGAAGGGGAAGGAGGGTCTGCAGAAACACTGAAAAGGCAGGGCCAGAGAGCTGAAATGTCAGAATCAGCCAGGGGTTGCCAAGGGCTGCAGAGAGTCCATGGGGACAAATATTCTCCCTGGCCTTGGAGGAACTACAGAAGCTACCTGTCCACTTTGGACCTGTCCACCTGTATATTTGTGACTGGTCCAGAGCTTACAGGGTAAGGACCTACTGTGTCATAGACATGGTATTCAGAGCCTGGACAATGAGCAGAGAAGTGGATAAGGAGGGAAGAATGCCTGAGGAATCTCTGACCACACCAGTCTCCCTTGTGACTGAGCAAGACAAGAATGCTTGGGGTGGGAGGCTGGAGAACAGTGATGGCTTTTAGACTGGCCCAGAGTCTCACCTGATTAGCTGTAGCTGAAAAGTTTGTCCTGGGAGGAGGTTCCATCTGACATTCTCGATCCTAGAAAACAATGGCAACAGGAAACACACAGAAAGCCTCTATTCCTTATTTAACCCAACTTATATCCATGGGTGAAGCACTTCATTGAAGCTAAGGGAAGGGTGGGACACAGAGCTGTCCCACAGTAAAGAAAGGTTTGGGTAAAGGACTGACTGACACAGTGAAAGTCTACACTTTTTCCATCCAAGTCTCCTTTAAAAGAAGCCTAAACTAGAAAGGAGACAGAAATGAGGCATACTTGTACCAGTTTCAGCTAAAAAAATCTCTAAGAAGAGGATGGACACATCTGCAAGAAGTGAGGTTTGTGGCCAGCCTCCAGGCTCAGGACATAGAGTTCAACCTCTGGCAGGCCGTTGAGTTAACATTTCTCACCCTGAGAAGGCTTCTCCCTAAAACTGGCTTCTCCCTAAAACTGGCTTCTCCCTAAAACTGTGGTCTCTGGCTCCACCAAGGGAATGCACGCACCCCTGCCCAATTATATCACTGATTGTTGAATGTCTGCATAGGGACCACACAGCATGATCAGGACTGCCAATCCCCTCCACATTCCCCTAGGACCCTAACCTTCTACTCACAGGTTCATTTCTGCAGAACACTCTTTACATATGTAAGTCTCTCCCCCAACTCTGAGAAGTTCTTTCAGCCTGCTGTTCTGTATGCTCCATACTCATGACAGAGGGAACTCTTCTCACTTTACCCAAGTAGTCTACCACAGAGCCTATCAACTCAGTCAAAGTGACTTCTAGCCCCTACCCCTATCCCAGCATATTCTGTCTTATCTCTCTTCCCAGATCCTGTCTTTTACCTCCTCTTCAAATCCCAATTCATGTTTCAGTCTTTCAGTAGAGGCTCCACCTCCTTGCTACTAACTCTCTCTGACCTCTTGCCTGGGTGGCTGATAGGACCTGAACACACACTTCTAGCTCTTCTTCAAGAAAAAACCATGGTATCAGCCTTGTCTCCCCTGCTATGCTGAGGGCCTGCTTCTTCTCTGCCATTCACTGTGCAGAGTGGTGAAATAAAGGGGCAGGGGCTGCTCTACCCGGAGGCGGTTGTTGAAAGTCTGGGAGGCCCTCTCACTGAAGTTGAACTGGTTGGTGAGTTTTCGTTCCTTGGGCTGCTTAGGAGTCATCAATTCTTCTTCAATCACTTTTTCAGTAGCCTGAAAAAAAAAAAAAAAGACCCGGGGAGCAGGACTCAGCTGTGGAAGAAGGTGGTGGGCAATTGGGAGTGAGAAGAGTTCTATCCTGGAATAGGGTGGAAGCAGAGAAGGTGTTGATGCCAGAAGTATTGTATCTAACTGCCCCTTTAGCCCTGCTGTCTCCTGCCCCCATGCTGAGTCAGTCTGAAGCCTCTATCAGTAACTGGAGCCGGAGGGGAGGGGTGGGGAGAAATAGCATACTGTACCTCAGCTGCAAGCAAATCTCCTTGACTCTCAGCTTCAGCTTCTGTTTCCTTGGGCTCTTCTTCTTCTTCAAGGATTTCTGCTTCTGAAATCACCACCCTGGCAGAGTCCTGAGAATCTTGGTAGGATATTGCTGATGAGCACAAAGCCTAGTCCCATTCCCCCAACCCTCGACAGGGCAGACTGTCTTGGTTCCTGCCTGTCAGACCCCACCTGCTGCAGGGATCCCCTTGGCCTGAGCCTCGTGGGTTAGCTTCCAGAGAGCCAGCGGTTGGGCTTTAAGTAGAGGCTCTGCAAAGTTCTGATACTCCCTAGAACAGACAGAGAGAAGGGACCAGAACCTATACTGGCAGCAGGCCCAGAGACCTACCTGCTGCTAACTCATGACGGTAGTGCTGCCGTCGGCCTTCATCCGAGTCTTTGGGAACCAGGTTCCCAACCTGGCTGAAGTGAACTGCCAGCTGGTTCACAAAGCCAATAAGCTTATATGTTCCTTCCTAAGACGAGAGGGTCCTTAATTAGGTCAGGGGTCCCCCAAAAGGACTAGAGTCAGAATGTAGTCCACTTTCATTCTTGAAGGCCTAAGAGAGTCCATTTATGTTAACAGAAATATGATTCACCAAGTATTCAATTAACCTGAAGTTTTCACAGCATTCCAGTTTAAAGAGGAGGCAAATGAGACGAAGTGCTTTTTTTTCAAATTTCATCAAAGACTTATTTGACCAAGAGCTGCATGTTGAACCTCAGCTACTGCTGTCACTACTACAAAGATGAAGAGGAAGGAGTAAGGGCAAGTACGTCCGCATCACCTCCCCTGTGCTACGTTACTGCCTAGCTACCCAATCCTAAATAAGAAGTGGAATGTTCAAGAAACTGTCGACCAAAACTTGTACGTAAATGTCCATAGCAGCATTGTTCACAGTAACCAAGAGCTAGAAACTATTCACATGTTTACACATTGATGAAAGGATAAATAAAACATTGTCTGTCCATACAATGGAATATCATTTGGCAATAAAAGGAAATGAAGTACTGACACATGTTATAGCATGACTGGATCTTGAAAACATTCAGCAACAGAAGCCAATCACATTTTTTCATCCCTTTGACATGAAATATCCAGAACAGGTAAATTTTAGAGATGGGGAACATAGCAGTGGTTGCCTTAGGCTGGAGATGGGATTCTGGGAATGACTGCTCAGGGGTGCAGTGTTTCTTTTGGGGGAAATGAAAATGTTCTAAAATTGACTGCGGTGATAGTTGCACAAGCAGTGAATACAGTCATTGAACTGTACATTTTAAATAGGTAATTGTATGTTATGTAAAATCAATTTCAATGGAGTTGTTTTAAGGAAAGAAAGAAACAATAATGACTGTCTGTCTAGGATAGGAAACAAGAGAAGGGAAGGTTTACTTTTCATTGTTCTTTTTAATTTTTGAAAAATTTACTATGAGTTTTTGTTATATAGTCAAAATAAGTTATATTTATTTATTTGTTTTTAAAGATTTCTTTATTTATATATACAGAACTGGGGTAGAGGCCAGAGATGCAGGGGCAGTGAGAGGATTCACCAAAGACAGAGTGGGGAGCAGAATAGGCCGACTGACAAAGTACACTGCTGAGGGGAGCAGTGGGTGGGTCAGGAGGGGTCTGCCACGCCATGTGGGTCAGCTCCCTGGCTGGAGATTAAACTCGTGCTGCAGTGGCTGTGAATACCTTCATAGTGCTGTGGTTTAGCCTGCTGTACCACCAGGAAGAGCCCCAAAATAAGTTATATATATGTGTGTGTGTATGTATATATATATTTTGTTGTTGCTGTTTAAAGGAACAGTATGACTTTAGAGTCAGACAAACCGGTTCAAATTTTGCTTTGAATTTTTGCTGTTTGACTTTTGTAATCGGCTTCATTTAATTTCACCTCGGTTTCTGTAACATGAAAATAATAATTCCTGTATCAAAGACATGTGAAGATCTAATGAACTATCACTTGTAGAAGGTCTATTAGAGAACCTGACACTGGCACACAAGCACAGAACAAATGGATCTTAAAATAATGAAATAAGAAACATGCATTACTTCCACTTTAGCTCACATTATACTCAGAGGTTCTCTACTGTCAGTCCTCACAGGATCTGGCCTTGCAATGCCTGAAAACTGTGTTCTCCCTCTTAAGATGTGCCATATATGTGTCTACCATGTGAGAATGCACTCACGCCATGTGGCTCAAAGGAAGGACCTGATAGGATTCCTGTTTTCGGGAGACACAGAGAACAGACCCTGTGAGGATTCCTCCCAGGCAGGGACACTGGGAGTTTGGGGAATGTAGATGGTGAGGTGGGGGAAGGTCAGATCCTTATAGGGTGAGTATTGGATTCCACCCAGGTGTCTGGCTGGAGGAGCACCAGACTTCTGAAGGCCCAATAGTTGATGTTAATGAAAACCTTGCTGTACCAATTAGGAAAGTATTTTTCTAACCAAATTATTCACTTCAAGGATTCTTGAAAAGAGTGACTCTGTAGGGCACTCAATACTATACAATTTGCAAGACCACAAGGGAGAATCATGAAAAATTTCCAATGTCTCTGGAAAATTCCATGAAAAGTCTCAGGGTTCCAGCCTAGGCAATCTCTTGATCTCTTGAAGATCTGTGAAGTTTTCACAGCATAGAAAGTTATTGCCAAGACAAACAGCACTCAGAAGCTCTGCCTGGCGGGGCTGACTTACTTTGAAGCTGTATCTGACGATGTTCTGGGGTGCATGTGGGTTGTTGGCTGTCAGAATTCGGGTGAACTCCTCCTTTAATTCCTAAGGGAGAGGAATACCAAGAAGATCATCTATGGAGGGCCCTCAACACCACTGTGGCCTGAGAGAACCCTCCCCCTGCCTCCAGGGTGTCAATAGACATCTCCCCCCAGGTTCTATGCAGGCTCCTAATTATCACTATGGCTGAACATATCTCTGAGGCTGGAGGATGGAGAAGGAACTAAAGCAGGATGCTCTTCACTCACCGCATCAGTCAACTCCAGCTGGTCAGGGGGTCTAACTGTGACTTTGGATTGAGCCCATTCATCTGCCCCTTCTGTCACTTCAGTCCCTACCTCTTCTTCCTGAAACAAACAAACAAACAAACAAACAAACGAAACCCTCATGTGAGGATCCGGAGGGCTATTTGGCTTACATAAACAAGCTGTGCTACAAGAAGTCCCTTCATTTGCAAATCCTCCTGTAAGCCAAGTACATACATAGATGACAAAATGTACTACAGGTCACTGTGGGAGAGTCCAGAGAACTGGTCAGGCCAGAGTTCTCATTGCTTGGAAGATCAGGGTCACCTTAGCCCCTGGGGTCAAGGCTTTCCTGGAATATTGTGATGGGTCTTAGGTCTCCTAGCAACGCCAGGAGAACTGGTTCCTCCCTGCCTCCTATACAGACTGAAAGCTACAGCCAGGACCAACTGCCAAAGGCAGGACTCTATGCAAAATTGAAGGACATGCAGCTGTTCTTTAAGCTGCCTCAGCTCTAATTCTTCACTGCAAACCTCTCACATTACCTTCCAATGTGCTACCTTAAGGGTACTCTTACAGCAGTTCTCTCAGTACTTGGTAATCTTAAGCCTCAGTACCATCATGTCCTTGGAGCAAGAAAAAAATAGCAAGGACTAAAAGTTTTCCTTCCCATGATAGACAGTTAAGCACTTTGCCAAAGTAGCCCATAACAATAGTGATCAAAGATGTACAATATAAAACAGGGCATTTAAAAAAAGCTTTAAACTGGTGAAAACTAAACAAACATAAAAAATATCTAGTGTTGGTGAGGCTGCAGGAATATGGAAGCCCAAAAAATAGCACAACTTTTGTAAAGAGCAACTTGGCAATATTTATAAAAAAAAAAATACGTATTTATACTCTCTGACCCAAGGTTTTATGTAAAGGAATTTATATTAAAGGACTAACTAAGGATATGCAAAGTTTAAGAGCTTGTATGTTTGTAGGAGGATTAATTATAATAATGAAAAGGAAGAAATATTTAAATGTCTAGCAATTTCTTCAACAATGTTGAACAAATGTTGGTCTGACCTTAAGGAACATATGGTAAAATATTATGCAGTAACTTTAAATGATGCTATAAAAGTGCACGTATTGGCAATGGAAGGTTCTCTAAATATATTATGTGAAAAGCAGATTACAAAATAACATACAGTTTTGATTCCATTTAAAAAATAAATACTTGTGATTTTTATGTACAAATAGAAAAATCTGGCAGGATAAAACACCACACATTAGCAGGACATTTCCTGGGGTGGTAGGTTTAAGGGCGATTTTAGCGTTCTTTTTGCTCATTTGAATCTTAAAAAATATATAGGTGATGTTTTCAAAAGGAAAAAAATGCCATTAGCTTCTTGCTGAGAGATTGTGGTGGTCCCAGCACTTACTCTCTTCTTGGTGCCTTTGCCCACGCTGATGCTCTGAAAGAACATAAACAGAAGGTAAATCATAAGCAAATCACCATGGGAATCTCAGAAATAGGATTTCAGGGAGACTTGCGCCCACAGACCTTGCAGACAAACGACATTGAACTTCCCCAAGTCTTAGGAGCCATTCTCTTAGGGGCAGCTTAGCCCAATCAGAGATCCTGTATCTGAAGCAACCCCATTCCAGCGCCCGTGGCACTGACCCACGTGGCACTGACAGTTACCTGGTAAGTCAGCACTGGCATTTCTTTTTGCCATTTGTTTAACAAACATTTGTAGAGTATATTCTAAGAGCACCACTCTGTGCTAGACATGAAGTGGATTTCTGAGGGCAGATCATATTCATAAACACTTATTTGGGACAAATGTAAGTCTTTATGAGCAGGTACTTTGTTTTGTACACTGCTGTATCTCCAGCATCTCAAACAGCACTCACAATATAGCAGGCAATTCAAAATACTTATTGAACAAATAAATGAAGTGCCATCAAATCCACTAGTACTTGTAACTCTGAAAAAAAAATGTTTTTCTTCTTTGGGTGTCAGTTTCCTCATTGTTAAAATTCATAGAACTGGATATGATGAACTTCCAGGTGTAGCATGCTAAAATTTTATGTTCCTAAGAGCAGTATGCTCAATTCAACTAGATAAACCTTTGTCAAACATCTGTAATATTTATGTGTCAGGCAACCAGACAGATGAATGTGATTAGGATTGTTTAGTCACTCAGTCACTCAGCCTGTGTTCCCTTGAAAGGCCACTCTGTGCCAGCAATAGATACATGTGGGCTCAGAGTGCTACAAGTGTGTCTAGAGGCATCTACTCAGGCAATGTGGTGATTTCTTAGCTGGGTATCAAAGGACAAGAATGGGTTGTTCAGGTAGAGAAAATGTTATTTAGAGGACTTTGCAGAAAGAGAAAACAGTACATGCAAAGGCAAAGGAACAGCAACAGAGAGGAAAATTCCCACAAAAGAAACCAAAGTCCTGTGATATATATATATATATATATATATATATATATATATATATAACAATTAGGTATGTCAGATGATTGAACTAGAGGGACATCAGAGGAAGCTGAGGGGCTCTTGAGGGGGTAAGGGACTCTTGCACAAAGCTGGCCTAGCACTGGAAGGGTCAAGGCAATAGGGAAATCAAAGGGCATGCGTCGGAGGCAGTATGGCACATTAGAAAAAGATTTGTGTCCCCAGTTCTCATAGACTGCCTATGTGATCTCAGAGATGGCTCTGGGGCTTGTATCCCGTAATGCAAAAGGGGGGAGTTAGACTAGCTGGATTCTAGCTTTTACATGATAGAATCTGTGGGAGAGGCTTTGATGATGGCAGGAGAAAAGGAAGTCCAGGGGGAGAGAAGAACATGTCTCAGCTTGGGCTGGGATTGCTGCTGGTAGGGCAGACAGCAGGATTCAAATTTCTGCCAGGTTGCCAGGGTTCCCAGCGATGGGAACCCTTCTCTGAGGCTAAGCCTTGTGAACCACAAACTGGCTTTCCTTTGAAGAGACTCTGATCCCTTAGGTAACAGGATGGAAGCGTCACAACGTCCAACAGCTTTCTGGCCCACAACAGAGCACTGGAGAGCCAATCCCAACCCAAACTGCCAGAGTTAAATAGAAAACGAGATCCAGTTACCACTGCCCCCCGTAAATATGTCTGTAAAACATTTATCTGGCAATAAAAGAACTGACAAGGCAATTTGAGTGTAATTGTTTTTGGCAGTTGGAAATATTTCAATTAACACACTATAAAAGCCACACTATAATAAATGCAAAACAGGCCAATGAAATCAGCTACAGCCCTGACTTCCAACCATGACAAAGGAGATTGAATGTCAGGCTGCCACTTTGGGCCCTTGGTCTTCCAGAAGGAAAAGCCTGAGACAGACAAGGCTGAATTCCTGCAAAGCCTTTGATGGTTCCCCCAGAAGTCGTCAAACCACAGAAGAAGAAAGTCCAAACGCCCTCAGAACCACTATCATCTGGCCCCAAGTCTCCCTTCCAGCCGGCTCTCCCATCCCTCATGTTCTAGTGCTTTGAGATGCAGCCCAGCAAACTACTCACATTTCCTGTCCATGGCCTGAGCACTCCCACCTCTGTACATTTGTTTTACCATCCCTCCTTCCAGGAATGCCATTTTCCCTTACCCTCTCTGCTCCCACTGTCCCTGCCTAATAAAATCAACTAGCCTCTACCAGTCCTTTACCTAATCCTGACACTATGCCCTCTTTCTCCTATCTTCCTTCCCTCAGTTTGAGCGAAGATTTCCCCCCTCCCAGCATCATCACACTACTGGATGTCATGAAATGAAGGATCTTTGACACTGTCTTCAAACTGTTAGACACTGTTGTCTCTGGATTTGGGTCTGCCAAAGGGGGTAGTATTATGAAAAGATATGTAAAACTGGTGCACGTTGGAAGGGAACTTGGAGAGTCCAGCAAGGGAGGTCCACTATTTTTATACTGTTGACAAAAGAATGTCCTCTTCTCCTGACTAGGTAGGTCACTTTATTTGGTCAAAGGAGGATATCTACAGAAGAGCGAAGCACCCCTAGGTCCCTGCAGCCAAATTAAATCTGGTGACCAGCACCCCTAGATCTGGTGACCAACAGCATAACTGATATCCCAGCCTGAGTTCCTTCACAGTACAGCCTTTTTCTATTTTCATTGTTAAAGATTTTAGTGAGTGTCCCAATGGTAGAAACTCTCATTCACCTGTGGACCATTAGTATAGAGTCCAGCTTGGATGGAGCTCACCAAGCCGATACCTTGGATGGGTATTGGCAACAGCTCAGCTGCCTCATGACCACTTTTTAGTTCCTCTTACAAGACTTGCCATTGCTGAGGCCTCCCTGCTTCCTGAAACTTCTCCACCTTCATTTTCATGTCACCAACCTCTCTAACAGCTTTTCCTCAAAATCTTTGACCACTCAAGGGAGGGGGGTAGTCTTCTTAGTTTACAACCTCCTCTTGGATGCTCATGTCCACCTATAACTTCTGCCTCAAATATGTTTCTGTAGCCTAGACTTCCTAGAATCTTGTGCTCAAGCTCGTGACAAAGTACTAAAACTCAATATCTTTTTTTAAAAAAGATTTATTTATTTAGCATATAGAACTGGGATACAGGCCAGAGCTACTGGAGTGGTGAGAGGATACTCCAAAGACAGAGTGGGGAGCAGAACAAGCAGACTAACAAAGTACACTGCTGAGAGGAGCAGGAGGCCAGACAGGAGTTCTGCTGTGCCATGTGGGTCACCTCCCTGGCCAGGGATGCAGCTAGCTTTGTAGTGCTGTGCTTTAACCCCTTGTGCCACCAGGGAGGGCCCTGAAACTAATATCTTAAAAACACTCTTTGTTGTGTTCTTTTTCACCTTCACCACTATTATACTTTTTTTTTCCACCACAAATTTCCACTTCCTCCAGTATTTTCCACTTCACTCCAGTGTGTCACCATTCACTCAGCCTCCTAGGTCAGAAATGGGGAATCATCAAAGATATCTGTCCTTTCCTTGATCTCCATATTTCAAAATCAAACAACTCTAGCTCTTTAATATTATTCTTAACTATCCTCTCTACTTATAAACCCCTGATTCAGGAACTTACTGCTTTTTGCCTAATTACATTTGCGCTCCCTGACTTCAGTTTCTCTCAACTCTAATAATTATTATCATTATTATCATTTTTAGCTATTGAGCACTCACTCTGGCCCAGTCATTTATGTACATTATCTCATCTATCTTCACAACCATCCTATCCAGTGGGATAAGGAGCTATCATTATTCGTATGTTATAGACGAGGACACTGAGTCATAGAATGACCAAGCAACCAACCCAAAGGTGATAGCTTTGAATGCAAACTCTTAATCACTATCTTCCTAAAACATAGATCTGATGATCTCACTCTCTATTTAAAGCCTCCAAGCTCCTCAGCAGCTATGCATTGAATTCCAAGCCCTTTAACATGATGTATACCCCTGTTTACTCTTTTCCCCTCACAGCCGTGAGTGAGTGTTTTGAAACTGAAAATTTTGGTGAATGTAACAGATGATTATTATTCCCACCCACATGACATCCCCTATACTTAAACTTGTTTCGGTATGCGACTCACTAAACAGTGTAAGCAACATTTTGTCCTTGAAGATATTTTAAGGGTTGGTGAAGAGATCAAAAACTCTAGCTATTGCTTTTGATTAAAAAAAAAGATTTATTTATTTATGCACACAAGGACTGGGGTACAGGCCAGAGGTGTGGGGGATGAGAGAAGTGGGGAGCAGAATAGGCAGATGTACTGAAATACACTGCTGAGGGGAGCAGCAAAGCCAGTGGTACAAAAATGGAAAACATTTTCACTAAGATAGGAGAGGTTAGCATCATGGCTGAGATTGTAGCCAGTGATAGCACTAAGACTTAACCCCTAGGCCACGAGGGAGGCCCAGAATTCTATTTTTATCTTTTATCTGGGCATCACAGTGGAGTCTGTTTAGATAACCCTAGGCTTGCTGTAAGTATTTTTTTTTAAAAAAGGACTGCACATAAAGTAATGCTGTGGTGCTTGGTCAGAGCTTGTGCTCCCCAAGTGACAGCTGGCAGCATTATATTTCCAGCTGTCCTGATCTGCCCTCACATAGGAGTAAGGCCTTTAAGCCCACAGGAAGCACTCCCCCTAGGGATGACAAGAACCTCACATCTCCACCAAAGAGTCCAATGCTGAGATATGATTGTTTCTGGAAAGAGGGGCTCTTGGAAACACGGAAACCCACAGACACTGCATTCTCCCTCCTGGGATCCAGGAGACTTCGTTTACCATTTCGGTTGTCTTGGTCCTTATTTTAAAACTCACTAACAGGTTTCCATTAAGCCAAATTGAAACTAAATACCTCGCCAGCTTGCAGTTTCCGTTTCTAAAAGAGTAAAAGCTCCCAGTCCCAAAGGAACAGTAATTCACCAACAAATCTTCCTCTAGCTATACTGACTGCATTTTAAATCTCTGAGTTTAGTCATCCTCCAAATCACACACAAGTCAATTAACGCAGTTGAAAGAGATTTCAGATTTTGAAACACTAGATGTAGGGTAATAGGCTTTATTGT